TTAAGTAGTTAACCGAGTTCGTTGACGACAGTGGGCAATTATAATAAATCGAGTCCACCGTGTGTTTTCAATATTGCGGCGGTCATTGGTTCCGGCGATTGTCAACGGGCGAAATTAGGACAATGATGAGATAACGAGAGGATGGTAGGGTAGGCGTGTGTGTGAAGGGGGGGGGGAAAGGGTACGGACGGTGTTGCGTAAAAATCGTGTCACCAAATCAATAATGGACAGGCAAATATTCGCCTTATTTTTATTTTTTATTTTTTTCGCCCCGGTAGTACGTATTTTTGCACCAGCCAACTTACGACTACCACCGTGTATAGCGTAAGTACACACACACACCGCCAGCAGCATACACACGACTGTCGTTGCCATGGCGATATCTTCGCAAGCTCACCGCTGTCTGGTGTCTCTCTTCACACCCCCCGGCCGGGCGATTCCCCTTCGCCCTCTGCCCCGTGTCCTTGGCATGCTTCCGCCTCCTCGCTTTTCCCCAACCGGATAAGCTTATAATTTATGATAACCTCGTCGCGAACACAAGACGTCGCCCCCGACTCCCACGCAGACCGTATGCGTTTATCGTGCACCGAAATTCATAATCCTTCGATGGGAAAACCCCGTGCCGGTCGTGTCATGTGGCCAGGATGTATACGAATGGCGGTTCCGTCTTCGACTTGTTCCGGTCTGTCGAACGCGGTACAGTGTATTCAATATAATACACTATACGTGCAAGGAGAGTGTGTATTTTATCGTCGAAATAACGTTTGTTTGTTTTGACAAACTCGCATCAAAACGGGTTGTATTATTATTATCGTTAGGTGTTTGCCACGCGCGCAAGGGAGCTGTCGGTATTCAGATGTCTCGGAGACGACACGCGGGCACCGAGGAAAACGTCTAGCCATTATCCCTCGTCACTCGGCTTTTCCCAACTGAGTGGTACAGCATCAGACCCCGGTCGAAAACCGTACACACACCTTGCTGCACAACCCATTTTCCGTTTTGCCATTTACCGTCTCCTGTTCCAGACACACTTGCCGCATGTTATCCCGAGGAACCGCCTCGGGCGCGTGTGTCCCTTATATATATATATATATTATAATTAACCAGAGTGCCACGGCTCATCGTTGTGGTGTCTGCCGCAGAGATTCGCGCAGGTGTGCATAAGTCGCAATAAGTATAATAAATATGTCTCGTCATAGTTCTTAACTGTGTGGATATCAGTTTTGAAGTAAAAGTTTTCCTTAAAGACGTATGTAAAAAACTCGAACGACGTCTTAATGATCGTTATTATATCATGGAATATTTCACTCGGATGTTCGTTGAATTAATTATCTTCTGTTATTCGACAGCATCTAGTTAAAAATTCGCCCGACGCTGATTACAAGCACGTCTTATTAATTTAACTCGAGCTGTGTATCAAGACGTATTTATGAAGATCAACAAAATATTATACACTTGAACTTACTCGACGACAAAGTTTTCGTCTCCTCGTCTTGCTTTCTCGTGTGTGTACTCAAACCGTCGCTGTGTACACTACAATAATTACACATTTATGCATAATAATTCATCATATACACACTGTACAAACCAGAAACGGGCTTGGCGGGTAACTCGAGGATGGCGCGACGCGACTCGGCCGTTTGTGAATACTTAAGTAAGTGCGTTTAAAAGTTTGATGGACTTTGAGACTTACCCGTATCAAACACCGATAAAATATTTAAACTGCTCATTATTATGTATAATATTATGTTTAACGGCGTCGCCAAGTTTTTCGCTAATAAGCAGGTATTGTATATTGTTATACATTTTTTTTCCTTTTGGCACGTTTTTGTCTTAACAATGTTATACTTTACTATAGCGCCAGCTTTATTAACGCCGTGCACCTTGAGACGAGTAGTGTGTACACGCTCATTTCGCTGTTGAAACAATAGCGCTCTTAGGCTTTTAGACGTTCGAGAGGTCCTTGTACCAACCGTCAAGTGTCTGCGTTAAGACACTTGGCGGTTGCCGGCAAGAAAACATAAAAAAAATTTGTTAATTTGTACCTTGGGTGTGGTCAAACATGATAAAATAAAAATAATTACTCGAAACCTCGACTTGGACATTATATTTTATGAACACCTCGGGTAGATCGTTAACTATAGGAAAGAGAAGGAACTTTATTTTCATTCTATCCGTTTTATTTGATTCTGTCTCGATTATGTTAATCGTATTAATTTTTCCTTTTAAACTTGAAAGATAAAAATCAATGAATGGCTCAGAAATTATTATACATTGCGGCGCTACCGCGATTTGTTTCCCTCGCGCCCAAAGTGTATGTAATGGGACACATAATAAAGCGGTGCTCGTCGTCCAAACAAATTGCTCGCTATTACACTGCCGTGCCGGTGTTAAAGAATAAGAAAATCGAGTTTCAAACAAAAAAACAAAAAAAAAAACCCCTAAACAAAAAATATGGTCGCATCTTCCGATGATTATCACTTAGAAAGCCACCGGGGAAAACGCGATTTATGTCGACTTCCGTTTTTTGTAATATAATATATACACCACCGTGTAAATAGATTGGTATTGTGTATATTTTTCGAATACAAAAGATTTATCTCTGGTGAGCTTTTTTCGAACTATACGAATCCCACGAGAGAAGAGCCTACGCCATTATTAATCAAACGTTGATAGGGTTATATTGCGATGATTTGGTTTGGTTTCTTTTATTGTGCATTATATGTTGCTGTGTTGTTTTTGGGTACCTAAAACTATAACAGAATTTGTGGGGGGGGGGGGAACTAATAAACACAGAACCTGCAAAACCCTCTATTTTTCCCATGTCCAAATATTATATGTTGTCTTACTATTCCATTTTTTTTTTTTTTTTATCAAATTTATCTCATTATTTTTAATATTATATAACATAAATTCTCATTTGTGGGTCGCTGTGACTAAAAATAAAAACACATATTTATACATAATATATTAAGATCACTGCGACCACCGGACCCGTGATATAAACTAATGGATGTAAAGTTCGAACCGTTGTATACAACAAAACACTAATTATAAATTATATCATTGTATTAAATGTTGGACTCGTCGGTAGTATTCTGTATTATATTGTTATTAGTGTTACCATTGATTATAAATAATAATAATATTATTTTTTAAACAACAGACTATCGTAATGCGGCAGTGGGTAATTTTTTTTTCATGCCCGACGAATATTTGATTTTTACAAACATAAGGAGTATTGGTATTATAGGGTTTTTGTGCGGTCAAAAAAAAAAAAAAACATAAATGAGTCAGGATTTTATTTTTTATAAACTTGTATTTTTTCCGACTCTCAGGGGAACGGTTGTATTTTTCATAAATTCACATCTTTAGTCACACGCGCACACACAAATTTCGTTTTAAATCTGATTATCTACTAAATAAAATAATATATATATTTTATTATACGGTCGAGCACGACCGATGTGAAACGGACCGTGGTTTTTTAGGAGCGAGATAAAAAAAATATATATATAAATGGTTAACACACGCGACCGGAATCCTGATGGATATCTGGATTTACCCAATTTTGTCGAATCTCGTTTGTTCTTTATGTATAACGCCAATTCGTTCAAATAAATAATACCCTACTGCACTGGTAACGGCTTTTTAAAATTCATGTACCATGAAACTCTCGATCCACCGGGTAAAATAAATGAATGCCCATTTAAATTTTTCCTCGGCCCCTGTGTTACAAGTAATAATACTATTTCGTCGTGTCACCTTAGGCGTTCGCCCTTATCCTTTGTATAATTTTGTTTTATTTTTCGTTATATTAGTTTTACTCGACCACACCGGGTCATTCATCACCAACCCGGTCGCGGTTCCGTTTTCGTGGGTTTTTTTCCATTGTTTCCGGCTTTCCTATCCCTCTTCCCTGGCATCCCTCGGGAAAATATAAAAGGATCCGAGCAGACCCCGATGTCGTTTGTGTGTGTGTGTGTGTGTGGGAGAGACCGTTTACTTTTTGAACCGTGTATACCGCGCATTCTATGGGCTGGGCTGGCCTATCTATGTACTTTGGACGGACATTAATTGAAATCGCAGGGGTCGTACATTTCTAGTACAGTGCTTTCGAACCGCGGTCTTCCACCACAGTATTAACCCCGCTGGCCTGGGTTCGAAAACAGCGCAACAACAACAATGTAATAATAACGATAATATTATTATTTTAATTCCGGTCGTGATTCCATTAGGATATGTCGGCTTAAGCGCAACGGCAAAATTATACTTACCCAGTCGGCGTGGCAACAAGTATTACCCGTCCGAGATTTTCCCTTAAGACTTCATGGTTGTTACCTTGCCCCCGAAATTGCCGCCTCACTTGGACCCCCTATTAATAGGACTTTTATTTGACCAGAATGACTTTTTTTTTTTTATAAAAATTCTATTTTTTCCGGTTTTGAATTGTGAACAAACGGACCTAAGACCCAATAAAACTTTGTACGCCACTGTTGAAATGCTTTTATCAAACAAGTAGTAGTATAATTGTAGTAATGCATATTTTTGGCTAAACGATTAGGAAACTCTCAAACTTCAATATTTTCTAAATATTATTTTATCGATTGGCTATGTCAAAAACATTTCGTCACGTAACATGTTTTTATCGTCGTAAAGACCCTTTTTAATTGACATTATTATTTGTTTTAAATACTATTTTTTATAAACTACCTGTTATTTATCATCACTTGAACTGTATAGTTATTGAGATGGCCAATTATACAATATCGACCATCGGTTATAAAGTAAAAAAATAAATGCGTTTTCGTCGATTAATTTTGGGCATTATTGTCGCTACGGTGGTGGCAATAGCGCGTCACCCGGTACGGTAATTACCGTAGCATCATAATAATTACCGCGCATGGTGGTCACACTGTTCGCAGCGGATCGATATCACAACGGGTGGTACCTCTTAAACAGCTGCAGCTGCCGCGGTCGCCTTCTGCCTCTCAGATAGATAACCTTATCGTTCTCGTCCGGACAGTCGTCGGCGCAAGCACGTGTGAAGTTTTCGTTTCCACTTAAGTATTGTTATTAAGTTCAGTGTTTTTTTTTATTATATTTCACCATTAACCACAATGCTGATGTGAGAAGATATGAAATTGAATCACTTTCAGAAAGTCTTCATTGGATGGTGAGTACAAACCAAATATGACCGACCCTATTTACACTGGATCATAGGTATTATCACATTAAAACGCTTTATCTAATTTTTTTTTTTTTTGTAATCGTCTCGTCCGTTAAATTCCTTGTTTGATGTAGACAAAATAATAAATCGGCGTACGCTTAAATTTGTTAAAATTAAAACCGCGTATTGATCGCCCAAGGTCAATATTAACATCATACAGTGTAATATGAAGCAACTACTAACTAGGCGACGTTCCGCTTGTTTAAAATTTTAAGTTTTTTGAAAACTAAATACTAAAGTTGAGTTTACAATTAAAATTTTTTATTTTTTTAATTTCTCTTAACAAAATTGCAAATGTAATTTGCAATTCTTTTACAAACAATTGTACTGTATTGTTATAATATTACAACTATTACATTTTTTGTAAGAAGTAAAACTTCACAACAATTATTATAAAAAGTGAGTTTTATACCTAAATATCTAAGTAACAATTTTTTTTTAACAAAACCCTAATTCTTAGCGGACCTCGTTTCAATTTTCAAAGATCTAATAAATTATACATAATACAATAATTGTTACACGACAGTCGGTAATTATATTATTCTAATAGATTAACAAAATTTGTATTGCACATAGATAAAATATCTTTGTGGCTATTATAATTTCCGTTACCTATCCTAATCCTGTTTTTTTTAAATATATCATTTCAATTACTCTGTCGAGTAACAAACATAACTATATTTACTTTTCTCAGGTCATTGGCTATATCGGGTGGTCTTTATTCGTTTGTCCTGTCGAAACGTTACATCGATTCCAAACGATATGACAGCATGAAAGCAAGAGAACGGATGCGATTATCTAACGTTGGCGAATACACACCGAGTGAAAGAAAATTGTAATAGGAAGTTTCACGTGTTACGAACAACAACATGGCTGCAGCTTCCATCCCGATGCCACAGAATCTGTCTAACCTCCAGCAAGTGGAGTTGGACATGATGGCTGACATGTACAGTCGTATGACCGAGTCCTGCAGGAAGAAATGTGTGAAACCCGAACACAAGGTGGGCGATCTGAACAAAGGCGAGAGCGTGTGTTTGGATCGATGTATTGTCAAGTATCTCCAAATGCATGAAAATGTCGGCAAGAGCTTAAGACTTGACTTCAACGCCAAATAATATATGTATTAATCATGTCGTAATAGTCTTATACTTGTACTAATAGAAATACTGTGGGTTTTTTTTTTTTAGTACTATTTAAGTTTGTAATTAATATCGGCCATTTCTGGACAAAACAAAATCGTACTGTTGTCATTTTATTAAGTTCTACGTAGATGTTATTAATTTTCAGATAGTCTGGAAATATCAAAATAAAGGTTTTATTATTTAAATTCTGTTTGTATTTTTTTTTCTCGTTTATAGAAATCTTTATTTGGTAATAAATGCAAATGAAATACTTCACATTATTTATGTTTTGTTTTTCTGATTAATTTAAGAATTATTCAAAATACATTTTAATTCACCATATTAAAAAAATATTTTTATTTGATAAATATATTAGTTGAAAAATTAAACTAGCTTGTTATTTAAATAATTTTTCAAAGTAAAAAAATAATTTCATTTTACAAAATGTTATTTACAAGAAAACTGTTTAAAATATCAAATTACGTGCCAAAATATTACCAACATATTAAAAATATGCATTTTTATTGAAAAAAATAAAAAATTACAATATATTTAAATTTGTTCAAATAAAAATAAATTAGTGTAGTTTTAATTTAAACAATACCCAAGTGTGCTGCCTATTGTTGAACGTGTCAAAAATTACAATATCCCACAAACAGTGGGATGCTAGGCATTCCTACAGAATACTGATAATAATCGTGACCGAGTAAAACCAAATGTGTTGTGGAACAAGAAAAAAAAAGGTTTATTATTATTCCACTGCCTAGTATTATTGTTGTAACTTCACAAATGGTATTTATCACAATGGAGACCACAACAGAGAATATTCTGTGACCACATCAAAAAAAAGAACCTCGGTTAAATATTTTAAAAAAAAAACCCTGTTTACCGCACAACAATGAGAACGGATTCAAATCGTTTTGCCAGTCTCTTTGTACAATAATATTGTTGTTGGATCCGACGAATCGCATTTGAATAATGTGTGTAATTGTATTTTTAATGTGCGGTCATGTCTGAACTTAAATTTCCAATGCCAAAACTTGGCACGTCAAGTGAAGAAGAACCCCTCCCCCCCCTTTGCAAAGCACTCGTGCGCGTTTTAATTATACACGTGTAGCGTTGGGTATTTGGAAAACTTTTCGGTCGTGCCTAAACACTTGTCAAACGATCACTGGGGAAACATTAGGAGGAAAAAGATATATATATATAAAAGTCTATCCCCGTCCAAATCGATCAGCGGACTTCGGTGTTTGCCAGCAGCCTTTCCCCGTACACCTATCCCGTTTTCATCCCTCCGGGAACGCTCTAAATATGCTTCACGGTTGATTTGCACGAACCCACCCCCCTTGCCTGCAACGAATACCTTAAAACGTCGTTGTGCCCACCCTATAGGTACCGCCCTCTATAAATGGCGATTCGGTGTGGCCGAAATTTGTAAAAAGCCTTGGTTTCAAAATAAAACCTTTAGGTAAACCACCGTCGGCGGCAATCGATGTAAACTTATTGGTAGTTCATTTTTTGTATTACACTATCGTATTGTATATTTTCCACATCATTATAGTGAGATCAGCTATGAACTTTTCTAATTTGTCTGTACTAGTGGTTGTAGAATAACACAATTTTGACTCTTGAAAAAATAATATTATACGACTAAAAGCGTGTAATTTATTGTGTAATTGTCTTCTTTAACTGAAAATACAAAATAGTACACGACCGACACGACCGTTTTTTTTTTAATACTTGTATTGTTTTTTTTCTTCTGCAAATTACAGGTCGAGGGTTGACCTAACCTAACCGGCAGCAGGTAGTATAGTGTAACACGGTGCGACTGCCCAACAGGACAGGAGGAGGGTACGCGTTAAGTAGAATCCTCTGGGAACTAACCCGGAGGTCATATTTTTTTTTTTTTTTTTCTGCACTTGGTTTGTTCGGTCACAACCGGCCCACAAATTCTCTGGGGAAATCAGTGGGGGCAAAAACGAGAAGAGCAAGCGGCAGGTAAACGAGCTTAAGACAAAACGTCCCTGCTCACACTCTCTCTCTTAACTCTATTTATCTGCAATTGATTCGGACGACCGATTCCACGCCCTTTTGCAGCGACGTCCCTAGGCCTAGCGAAATCATTTTAAACTTGTGGCAGCGACCGTACTGATTTTGGAATGTTTTTTGCTTTCAGTTTTGGCCAACTTGACGTGTGCCGAAAACGAATTCCAGTGCAATAACGGACATTGCATATCTCTGCACTGGCAATGCGACAACGAAGAAGATTGCAAAGACGGCAGCGACGAGGATCCGAAAATATGTCGTGAGTTCATTCAACAGTGATAATATGTTGTTATATCAAATATAACGTACCAATGAGACATGATAATATATAATAGCCGTTAATGTTATGTTTAATTATAATGATATTTACACCTAATCACGAACGACCTTCATCAACCTCCAACCGCGTTTAGAGTTGCATCAATCAACGTGACTGTCTTTTTTTTTTTTTTTTTATATATAGTGTGAACCCAAGTACTAATACTAATACAACGAGTATAAATTATTTTAATTGCCCAGATAACACTTAGGCCGGCAAAAACTCCGGCTGGATCACATGAACTTTTCCTAACCGGATTCTTGTGAAGCTGTACATTGGTCCGAATTTATCGTTATTAAAAATTCTCAAAACCACACTAGCGGGATAAGAAGGAGACTGTTTTTTTTTTTTTTATATATAATAGTTACCTGTAGTGTAGGTACTATAGGCTAGGTTGGGTTATATAGCGTGTATAATATGAGTGGAAATAAGGGTTTTTTTTTGTTATTACTACCTAATTAGCTAGACTCGGTCGTGAAAATAACGAGGCGGTCCCAAGGTGGTCTCCACGGTCTCTGGGAAAGTAGTAGTAGTAAAGAAAAAAAAAATCCTTAATTTATGGACTGTTTAATGTAGTTATCGGCGGCGGCAGAAGGCGAGAAAATAGTGCAGAAAAAAAAATACTTGGAAGGTTTTATGTAAATTTATAAGCGGAAAACTCTTCATTTGTATTCCTTTTTTTTTTTTTTTTATCTATGGCTTTTTTTCGGCTTACTCGTCCGTCTCGAGCCAAAAAAAAATAAATATATATATATACTTATTTATGTACAATCAATAGAATCACGAATAATGTCAATTTTGTCGCCCAGAGTGGGATGGTGTTTGCCACAACCGTAAACATTTCCTTCCGGTTTTAAATCCCCAACAAAATATACTACAAAAATACCTTATCCCTAACCGTTTACCCTAGATTTCCTAGATTTATTATTATACAATAATATACGTTCACTTCTCTGTAGTTTGTATATTTTATTTGCCAGCTTTGTCTCCGCCACAAAATAAATTACATTTACAATTTTACCAGTACAACGAATATAACCACATCTCGGCTAAGATCCGCTAGGCCTGCTACAAAAAGGTTTAACAATAGCTGTTCTGGGACGATAAATGTTTTTTCACATAGTCTACAGTAGTGTTATTAAAATTTGTTTATTGGATTTTTTAAAAGAGTAGGTATGATTCTGCTTATGGGGAGGGGTGGGGGTACATTGACAGTAGACTGTTAATTAAATTCCTGAAACAAAATAACATTAAAAAAAAAAAAAAAAAACTGCAATATTAAACTTTTACATTACTGCCTCCTCACAACCCGGCTTCTGATTTAAAAGAAAAAATGTTTTCGATTAAAATCCTGCGCCGTTCAATAAAGGAATACTTTTGTAAAAAATAAATGCGCCGTCCCGAAGTCCTTGAAATTAAATTTCAAAAAAAAAAAAAAATAGTCCACCGATAATAAATAGCAATAACGTGGACGTTTTTTTACAAACGGGTCTAACACTTAGAATAGAACCCATATGCTCTTTCGTGGAATTCCAGTTTTATCACAGTGTGTTTGACACGACGTAATTGTATTAATTCATTTAAAAAAAAACATTAAAAAAAAAAAACACAAGTGCCACACGTTTTACAGGCGATAGGCCCTGCGTTGACGGGCAGTTTGAATGCGATAAAGGATTGTGCGTATCTCCGGCTCTGGTTTGCGACGGGCAAACGGATTGTCTTAACGGCGCTGACGAAGCGTACTGCAGTAAGTGCCTCGCCCCCGAGACAATTTTTTCTCATTTACCTTGGTCGAGGGCTAACGGTCGTGGGATTGCAGGGCCAAACCAAAATAATATCATCCAATCATAATAATATTTTAAAATACATTTAAAAAAAAAAAACGCAGTAGTCGCGCATCAGTAGTAGTAGTAGTAGTATAGACAGTTATTACTGTTAACCAGCATGTTGTATCTGCGTCTAACCATATCGGCACGGTTCGGTTTGTTTGTTTGTTTTTGACACAGAGAAACGGGTGTGCAACGCGGACGAGTTCACGTGCAGGAAGACCAAGGGCGAATGCATACCTCTGACTTGGATGTGCGACGGTAACGCCGACTGTTCGGACGGTTCGGACGAGAGGGAATGCAGTAAGCGCACGGTTGAAATAATTATAATATTGACGTTTGTGTTGTGTGCTGCTGCTGCTGATATAGCTTGTCGTTGTTTTTGTGCTTTTTTTTTTTTTTTTTTATCGTCTCACATCATATATTATGACGCTAATAAATAATTGTACACATCTGCTTGCGCTTTGGTTGCGTATCACGTGCTCTGCGACCGGTAACCGTAGTAACTCGGTGTCGGGCAAATTGTAATCGGTAATCATAGTGATAGTGTAATCGTGCGACTGAGGGGAGGGGGCTGGGGGCTTAGGCCCTCGATTAAAATTTAGCCGAAAAAAAATATATATATATATATTCCTCGTCCACTTGAATTGTATATTTTCGTATTTAAAAATTGAAAAGTAATAATGAACGTTATTCAACAAAAAAAAAAATCTAAATGCTTTTTCAGGTAAAACTGTTTAATTGTACAAGTCGAAAAATGAATAGCAATGATTTTCGATATTTTATATTCCAAAAAATAAGCACCTTTTGTTGGTTAACGAAACGTTTAGAGAAAGCAGAATTAAAAAAAAAAATTGAATTTTTCCAAGAGATATTACAATTATTATAAAATCGTCGTGGAACACTATAATAAAGGGTGTCCCAAAACATGGTTGCGCCATTTAAACGGTCGCGCTATTTTTGGGACACCCTTTGTTGTTATAAATGTTTATATATCTGTAACAACTGTGAATAACCGTGCAAGTCGATTTGGGCGATTTCACGGGAGAGCAATTTTAAACTTTCAGCTGCTGCCATAAGGCAATAATAACTCACATCTCTCTCTCAGGGGCGGTTAAACAATTTTTGCACGATTAATGTAATCATAACATATATTCGATGGCTAATGATTACAACGTGTAATCACGATTACCGATTACGCCCCCGACACCGCTGGCGGCGGTGACGACGGTTCGCGGGCACTTTGCGCTTTGTCTAAACTCGACTTATGTGTGTTGTGTGTGTGTGCGGTTTAGACGAGACGTGCAGAGACGACGAGTTCACGTGTGGCGACGGCAAGTGCATACAGAAGATGTGGGTGTGCGACCGCGACGACGACTGCCAAGACGGGTCGGACGAACGGCACTGTCCCAACCTGGTGTGCTCGCAGTCCGAGTTCGCGTGCGTCAAGGACAACATGTGCATCTCGTTGAACTGGAAGTGCGACGGCGACTTTGACTGCAGCGACAAGACCGACGAAGCGGTAAGTGCCCCCCCGTACACGTACACGTACAATACGACGACACGGTATAATAATATAGTCTATTTACATGCTCGGTCTGTCGTCGCTGTTTTGTTTTACAACTAGGGCTGCGAGGAATCCGCCAGAGTGTCCGAGTGCCGGGCTTCCGAGTTCGAGTGCGAAGACCGCAGCCACTGCGTCATCCAGTCTTGGGTGTGCGACGGCAGCGTGGACTGTGCCGACGGGTCGGACGAGGCGCCGCACCGGTGCCACAACACCACGTGCCGGTCCGACCAGTTCCGGTGCAGAGACAACACGTGCATTCCCGGGTTCCTGCATTGTTCCGGCACCGCGGACTGCGCGGACGGCAGCGACGAGGAGAACTGCAGTGAGTGTGTGTTGTGCCCATAATGCCAAAGTGTTGTTGTTGTGCCGACAACGTTCGTTCACTCGGTCGTCGGCGTATCAATATTGCCTACACGACGCGCCGTCCGATTGGGCATTCGGGGGTCGCCGTCGTCACCATGTCCTTTATCTCCATTCCGTTGGGTCCGTGCGGATCGTGCGGCCGCTACTAGATTTAACACTTTTGATTTAATTCACAACTTATGGTGACAGGCCCATTTTTATCTTTTTTTCCGGGGCCTCAAAAATTCTAAATCGGATTGCAAATCATCGTGGAACACTCTATGTATGTTTATATACATTTTAGAGAAAGCCTGGGGCGGGGTTAAACAACATTTTTTTTTTTTTTTTTTTGCAACCGTTTCTTGATTACAATTTCACGATTAATGTAATCATATACTCGACGATTACTGATTACGCCCAACCGTGGCTGGTGACGAATAGTTGTATTTAACGTGTATTGTGCTTGCAGAAGAGCCGGTGCACAAGTGCGACCCGTTCACCGAGTTCGAGTGCGGCAGCGGTATGTGCATTGCGTTGGACAAGGTGTGCGACAAGAAGCCGGACTGTCCCGGCTTCGAGGACGAACAACAGGACGGGTGCAACGTCAACGAGTGTCTGATCAACAACGGCGGGTGTTCGCAGGTGTGCGTGGACATGCCGCACACGTTCCGGTGCGACTGCAATCCCGGATACAAGCTGGTCGACAACAACACTTGCGACGGTAAGTCGGCGTCGGTGGTCTCGTGTTTATCACACAGGGTGTCTCAAATGAAACGAAATCTCATAAATGCAATTGCGGTGTGTGTGTTAGACGTGAACGAGTGCGACATCGAGGGCAGCTGCTCGCAGGTATGCATCAACGAGAAGGGAACGTACAAGTGCGAGTGCCAGCCGGGATACCTGCGCGACCCACAGGACCACACCCGGTGCAAGGCGATGGAGGGCCACGCTTCCCTGCTGTTCTCCATGCAGCACAACATCCGCAAGATATCGCTGGACCACCGCGAGATGTCGGCCATCATCAACGGCACCAAGTCGGCCACAGCCATCGATTTCGTATTCCGCACCGGCATGATATTCTGGGGCGACGTGTCCGAGAAAAAGATCTACAAGTAAGTCAGTCGGGGGTTGCTTGCCGCTGCTGTTCAATGAAAATCGCGACGATTTCCACCGTTTTTGTGTTTGCAGGGCGCCGATCGACGAGGGCCGGGAACGGTCCGTAGTGGTGGAGAGCGGCCTGTCGTCGGCCGACGGTCTGGCCGTCGACTGGATTTACGGTCACATATACTGGACGAACGCCGAGAAGGACTCTATTGAACTGGCCAACTTCGAGGGCAACATGCAAAAGACGCTGATCAAATCCGAACTCAAAGAACCCAGGTCCATCGCCGTAGACCCGATCGGAGGGTGAGTCGCGCGCAGAGCCGTTGTATATATTTTATGTATTCTCTGGGGGGGGGGGGCTAGAGAACCCGGGTCTTTGCTTAGCTCTTTGATGAACGACAAGGGAATTAATTTGTTAAACCGTGATCGCACGCAGTTGGCTGTACTGGAGCGATTGGGGAAGCGACGCGAAAATCGAACGGGCCGGCATGGACGGCACTCACCGCGAGGTGATCGCCTCGTTCGACGTCAAGTGGCCCAACGGCCTGACGCTGGACCTGGTGTCCAAGCGGCTGTACTGGGTGGACGCCAAGCTGCACACCATCTCGTCGTGCAACTTCGACGGCAGCCAACGCCGCCTGGTGCTGTTCAGCCCCACCTGGTTGCCGCACCCGTTCTCCATATCCACGTTCGAAGACTCGCTGTACTGGTCCGACTGGAACAAGAAAGCCATCGTCAAAGCCAACAAGTTCAACGGCTCCAACGTCACCACCGTCACCTCGTTGCACATGGTAAGCGCGCATACTACCCCGTCGTGTTTGACGTACGGTGTAATGATTTTTTTTTTTTTTTGTCGTCGTCGTCGACGTGTTACAGGCACAAAACCCGATGGTCGTGCACGTGTACCACCCGTACAGGCAACCCGACGGCGTCAACCATTGCGCCGCCGTCAACGGCCACTGTTCCCATCTGTGTCTGCCAGCTCCTCAGATCAACGACAAGTCGCCGAAGATATCGTGCGCGTGTCCCAACGGGCTGACGCTGATGGCCGACGGCCTGATGTGCGCCGAAGAAGGTAACGTTGACTGCCCGAGCCGACAGCGCGCGAGCGGGCGGCCGTCCGCTTGTGTCGCGTCTGTCTGCCTTTGGTTTTTTGTTGTACGCTACGAAACGTGTAGTAGAAATTGATAATTAATATTAAAAAAAAAAACACTTTTTTTTTTTTTGTCACGTTATCGCTAAATATTTTTTTTTTTTTGTATTGTATTGTTTTGACGATTAATTTCTTACAGTTAAGGACAAAACGGTTTTAACTAAATCAAACAAACACAATCATTATAAAAAACCCGATATCAAAACGCTGTTACGTAAGTACTTGGAAGTTAAAAAACACCGTATACATGTATGTCGGCCACGGCTGTACTCTTCTTCTTCTTCTCTATTCTGTGCTGCCTTTATCGAGATTCGTCTTGTCCTGCGTACATAATACACAAACGCTTTGCGGTGGTCGGGTGTCTGTTTATTCATTTAAGCGCAAGATTTTTGGTGATGGGCGGCGGTGGAGGCTATGACGAGAAACTATGATTTATATGGACGAAGAATAGTAGACGAGGCGAAAAGTTGGGCAGATAAATAGTGTAACATGGCAATAATAATTATTATTTGATTGAAATGGAAATCCTGTGCAATTGTTTCGTCGAAATCGGAACGTTTTTTGTGTTGTCAACCGGCATTGAATGTTTTAACCCCAATGGCTGCCTTTTTTTTTGTTATCTTAGAATCCTCTCTGGACATGTGTCGAATCTTAGCTGCATAATACTAATATTTTGTTGTCGATGAATCAATATTGTTGTCGAAGGCCATTGGTTCGGTTTTGCTCGTCACGGAGAGCCTTGAATGGACGTCGTTGTTAATTTTTTTGAATCTTTTTAACGTTTTTGGTGGAACTCTAAAACGAAAAAAAAATTGCATTCCTATAACATATGTACACACAACCTAACTGGACTGACGCCAGTGTTTTTTATTTGACGCTTTAATAATATAAATAGCAAATGCGGAATAGAACACATTCGTCCATTACCCTCAGTCTTACTTTGTGTCTCGATCAATATTGTTATGTATCAATGTTAACCACTAATGTCAGATAATTATCATTATTAAATATTCATCCGGTCGACCTTAAGGTTCGCTGTGGGAAGTATTATACGAATGATAGGTATACATAGTGCACAATTAATATTATAAGGTCCTACAATGTCGTCCTTGATGGTTGTTTCTATAAATAGGAGTGTATTGTATTGAATAAAGGATATTCGCATTGCGTTTTGCATTCTAGCAAATTTCAGTCTAAGTATTTTTAGTAGTTTGGTACCGACAAGTCGTCTGTTGTTTGCGTTTCTCTGTATACAAAAACGGTAAGTACGTACTTGTTAGTTATTATTACCATACTTACTAACACCGCTTAACAAGCGCGCCATGTGATTTTCAATTTACTAATTAATATAATAATATCTGTAGTATAATTAATACCTAGTTTAATAGTACTTGAATTAAATGTGAAAAAAAATGTATACACACATTATGTAATATATTATATATAAACTCCCTTCGACCTGTTGCCATTCTATTAATTATCAATATTGCTAATGTCTGGTAACATATTATGCAATTATTATTGTATTGATTGGCAACGCACGCTTGTACATAATATTGTTTTCATACGTGCCTTTAAATCAACTGCCTCTGTATACTAATATGACATTGTAATTTGCCCCGGAATGATTGTTATAGGAGCGTGTAAATTAAAAAAGTGCTATTCTCTCCAGAACAAATACATATCATATTTTGTTATTTTAGATAGAAAATAAAATAACAATTTTCATTTGGGGGGTCTTACCTTAAACAAAGTTTGACTATAGATTTTGAAATTTCAAATGATTAATTATATTCTTTTGGTTTTTCATAATACCGTTGATTACAACTGTTATAGATATAATATAATATTTTATTATTGATTATAAAATATTACTATTATTTTATCTAAGGAAAATCTCACACACAAATTTTGGAAATAATTAAACTGTTAATAATAACTACAACTCGCTTAAATAGGGTCATTTGATTTAAAAAAATAGTTAAACAGTGGCAAGTTGCGTTATCATAGTAATATTGGATGATAACACACGTTCCTGTGATTATAACGATTGTTATCTATGGTTACCTTAATGGTAACCCACGCCTAACCAATTAACCTGACCGTAGATATAGTATCCGGAAAAACAAATCTTTTTGGCGCGTAACCCGAAATTCAAAATCAAAATCAGGCGAACGGTTAGAGGTATTTATCAATTGCAACGGACAATCATTCTGGGACATAAATCGCTGCTGTATATAAAATATAATATAAATATTGTATAGTTTGTATTATGTGTTATGACGGTTCGCTCGCTGTTGCAGATATGAACAGGACAATGATTGGCATAAACGACAACCACAAGAATCAAGAAGACAGCGGGCTGGTCGCAGCCATTTTCATATTCGCCGGATCCCTGTTGGTCACTTTGGCGGCTTTGGTACGTGCGGCGCCTGTTTCTCCTCCAAAGGGCAAATGTTGTTTAATTAATGATGATTACTATTGTACACAGGGAGCTTTCTTGTTGTACCGACAGTACTTGCACCGCAACGTGACCAGCATGAACTTCGACAATCCCATCTACAGGAAAACCACCGAGGACCAGTTCACGCTGGAAAAGAGCCAATACCAACCGGCCAGAGTGTACCCCACGTCGGTCGGCGAAGAGGTAAACTTCAACGTTATAATCTAATCTCGACAATAATAATAGTAATACCACATCCGAATGTTACGAGTCGTTCGCGTTTTTTTTTTTTGCCAAATATTTACTTTAAATATTTGTGTTTAATTTTTTTTTTTTACACGCTGCGTTAGTTTTTCCACAGTAATTCGGTAAGTCCGGCCCGTTGTTGTCGTCGTGTACGATCACATATTTTGCTTTAGACGTTCCTACGTGGAACACTCTGTTAAAACCGATACTAACGATTTGCTAATGTTTTTGATGTTTTGTTTTTGTTTTCCAGGCCCAAGAGCCGCTGACACGTCCAGGCACCAACGAGTACGTCTAAGGTAGACCGGTTTTTTTTTTTTTAGAGTTTATCTGCATACAGTTTGTAACAACACTAGTCAATGTAAAACAATTACACGTGTAATTATGTATACATACATTTGTGTATATAATATTTCAAAAACGCACTTACGTCCAAACAGCGTCGACAAACGTCTCGGCGAGTTACCAAATCCGCGAGGGTTTACCACTATGCAGGATCAAAGTGTGCCGTATTTACCCCGAACGACTTAAATTAGCCATTTCCTAAATTACAAAACAAATATATCGATTACTTGGCTTGCACGACAAAACAACGGTCGGAGTCTTCCTGTATAGCGTTTTCTCGAGGGCCATCGTTTCAACGACAACAATATTTTATTTCTTCCAGGAGCCAATTTTTTTTCTGTATTTCTTTTTTTACATATATATTATACAAAACAGTTCCTATTGTTTATTTTTTATTAATTTATATTTAATAATTTTTAATGTAAAAATAAATTTCTATTATTATTTAAGCTATATATATATATATACATACGGTTTGCCTATTACGACTGAGGTGTGCGTGCCAAATAGAGAATTTTTCGTCTTCTTTTTTTTTTTGTTGTATTATTTATTATTATCGTTTGTTGCTCAAAGTGGAAATCCTTTGATCTGTGTGTGAAACGTCGGTTTAATGTGCAATTTTCGACTGGTAAATCGACATTAATATTGTTTTATTATATAAATTCATTCCGTTTCGAGTGTTTACAAATAATAGTTAGGGAATGTATTGATACAATACTTAGGTGGTAGCGCCATTATATATTTAACTGTCGCACGGTCGATTTAGCGGCTAATTATATTAATATATTTACTATTAAATGTAGTCCGATAATTGTTGCAAGCTTAAAACCGTCTTATTAGATCAAAACTTATTTTTACTGTTAATTGGATGTATTTAATAATTTATAATTATAATATAGAGGAACCAGCTCGGTTGGTGTAGTGGGTAGTTGAATTGAGTATTTATTGTTTTTCTCGAATGCCGTACGGTTTTTCATTGTATCCGTTCACGAACCCTATTAAACGGCCAGTGCTCTGCCGATTGATGTTCTGGTTTTATGTCATTGTTGTTTTGAGAATAATTTATACTTATTGCCATATGCAAACATGTTTTTAAACTATTGTAAAATTTTTGTTAGATAATAATAGTTTTTATTGTTTAACTATATGATTTTTTTTTTTTTTTGTCTTTTTTAAAATATTTTATTAATTACTTAGATGAATCGATTTTGTGTAAACTTAATAAAATAGAGAAAAGTGGTTTGTTATCGATGTTTGCATTTGTTTTATTTATTTATGAAAAAAAATTCAAATATATAAATATATTCACGATTTGTGTAAAAAAAAAAAAAAATGTATAATAACAATAAAATTATGATGCGAAAAACTTTACGCCCGAACCTCCGTCCAACGTCAATATTTCAGCTCGTTGTTGTCTCTCCAATATTTTCAAAACCTTTATGAGTACTGAGTCTTCGATTCCATTCACTTCTGTAAAACCGACTTATATTGTGATACTACCCAACACAGTTGTAAGGGTTTTATATAAATTTTGCCCTCAAACTTACCCCCACAGCTGTCGTTGGTAGCTATTTCGTAGAAAGTACACACGGAGTTAAGCATGGCGTTGTCCTGTGCCCATTTGTAGACGATCGACGCCCACTCGTCCAACGTGTGCCAAAAAACGTGCCACCTACACAATTGATTGTTTGAACAAATTGAAGAAAAAAAAAAACACTTGGCTTATTAAGTTTTGATGATTGTTTACCTCGTTTTAGATTTATCTAACGGTTCGGCATTTCCAGTCTTTTGTAACGATTCTAGTACAGTAGTTATGGCTTCTGGTGATAATTTTCCTTAGAAAAAAAAAATATCAAATTTCAATATTTTAACGTTATGATTGTGAGAACGCCAAGTAAAAATTTGATACAAAACAAAAGAAGGCGATTCGACCACTTCAATGGTGAGCATAAACAAATAAATTTAAAAAAAAAACCCGTGGAGACGATATAAAAAATAATGAGTGTACAATAGAAAACGTGACGAGATTTGAATTCAGCAAAATAAAAACAAGGTGGATTTTCTTTGATAACAAGAAAAAAATTCAAATTTTGTAGTACAGTGTTATCAGTGTCTTTCTTTTAAGAGGACGTCATAGCCCCATTTACTAAGGAGTTGAAGAAAGTCACTGTTAATCTGTATACTTAAAATATTTTGGTTACAGAATTTAAACCCAAAAATTGATTTCATTAATGAAAACCCATACATAGATTTATAGGCTCGACCAAAATAAAAGTACTTTAAACTTAATTTATTATTTACGAATTAAAGAAAAAAAATTTAAACTTAAAACATGATTTAATATGTCACGTTTGTAATTAACAATTTGTCAATTAGCAATTTATTATTACAGATGTAATATAACAGTGTTAATTCTTTATAATAAAAATTCAAACATAATTAATCGACGAGAGTCTAGACATTAAATAATAAAGTTAAGATCAGTCGGTAAGTATTTATAATAAATTATAATAGGAACCTAAAGGTTGTCGCCAACAAATAAGAGTTATTCAAATAACCGATTATCATTATAAGTAATAATAAATTTACAACAATTAAATCACTTTATCGACTGTCTTGGCACTTACAGTGTTTTAACGGTCTAGCATAAATAATACTCTTAAAATAACGTAGAGATTAGGAACTATCAGTAGATAATAATATAAAATATCTTCAAAAAGAGAGTGGAGTAAAAATACAAAATAGGTTAACTTGTAAAAGATGAAATATTTACTCGATATTGTTGCGTTATTGAATACAGCTAATCGATCGCCTTCCCGTACGTCGATGGTATTTATTTTTTGTGTACGACAATAATCTAATAACAATGTTCTCCAAGCGTCTAATTGTTTTTTTCTTGTTTCGGCATTGGGTTGAATCCTGTGCACAAAACAATATGTTCATTCAGTTTTGATCTTAACAGTTTAAGAATTTATGAACCAACAGTAAAATGGTTGTAAACAAAAATTTCACTTAACACCATGGCAATGATATATGAACTTAGTAAAATATTTTGTGGTTATACATTGAAAATCAATGAGACCTTTTTTCATCTAACCATAGAATATTAATATTAAACGTAGGTACTCACGTAAAAAAAGGAGGAAAATTATACTGCCACGGCCACTGGATTTCGCTCATTTTATCACATGCATCCGCAATTGAATATTTTGTGTACTGACCTCTGGCTAGTGACAATAATTTTAAGGAAAATGTTAATATTTAATTTCTCTGAAAACCGAAACTCAGAATTTGCAGTTAATACAAAATAAAATGAATCAAAAAAATTGATTGTTTTAAGTATGTAAATAATGATAAGTGATAAAAATGTGATAACAATAAGTGATAACAAGGAACAATAAAAATATAGGAATAGAAAATATACATCAATTGGGTGAAAAGTTCAAAATATTAATAAAAACAAAGTATTCAAAAAAATATTGTTTTTAGTCATATTATTATATTATCTATATATAAATATAAATAAATACAAACATAAAATTATAATTATTATAATAGTTTATAGCAAGTACATAATATTAAGAAATAATTTATAGAACGTGCAATGGTATTGTTCTGATAAAATTATCATAATAAATATATATATATAATATAATGTTGTAACAAAAAAATTTGATAAGTTTTTTTTTTCATTATATAAAGGTATTGTTTAAAATAATTTTCATAAGTTTCAAAAAAAAACAATAATTTTATTGATTTTTTGCTTTTTTCTAAACATGTTCAATATTATTATTAGGTAATATTATTTTTTTTATTTCAAATAAATATTTATAATTTGTCTAGTATTATTTAGGAAACCATCAATAGCTAGAGCAAAAAAATTAAGGCAATATCGCCAGCTCTAAGCCGATCAAAAACTTTTGTCATTGTTTGTTGTTTTTAGCTAAATTGTGTGATGCCCAATTAAGTGAAGTTTTCCACGAATTTCCGAGCGCTTCTTCAAATTTTGACCGAAAATGTAATTTGGCATCGTGTTCCGACAAATCTAGTACAAGCGTTTCACGCAAATAATTGAGGTCTTTTTCAGAACCCAGTTCGGGCAGACCGGTCGATATCATCATAGCAAAGAGAGATAAAATAAGTGAACCATGGCGTCGTAATATCAGAAATGCCTGGTGAAAAAAAAAACAAAGTTAATTTTATTTATATATATATATATTCACCGTTTAAAGCCCAGAGCACTTACTTTTTCGCAATAATTTTGAAACATCTGGAACTCGTTTGCTTCCTTCCGAGTCTGGCCTTTGTTGATGACGTGCACAAAATCGTGGGTTAACACAAACGGTACGCGTTCCCGACGAAAACCAAATTTTTCCTTAAAATGACCGAGTATATGGCCAAAGTCTATGTGAAACAACTAGATAAAAAAAAACCGTTTAGAAACCAAACAAAAACAATCGTTTTCTTTTATATTCTCACTTGTCCGGTTCTCTTGACCATGATGTTGTCGGAATGTCTATCGGCAACTCCTAGTACATAAGTTGCTACACAATAACCAGCACACGAAAATGTAAACTCTTCGATCGCCTTTTGTAATGACTGTTCGGTTTGATTATAGTCTTTTAACCAGGCTAAGAAATAAAATCGAATAGTTATCGTGTTCAATGCTCAGATAGATTTATTAACATGATAGTTAATCGTGTTTAAGTTTCCATACCCAATAGCGATCCTTTTTTAAACGCTGACGTAGCAGAAAACATTCCTTTTTCTTTTTGAATGTTGGCGATGGTTTCTGCATTTAATACTACTTCGATCATACCAACACGATTATCAGTGGAAATACACTGGTATGGATTCATTCTGAAAAACAAAAGTTGGGTAATTTTATCAATTAGTTTCCACTAAAAAGTTGTACAACTCACCTAAGGTCTAATCCTTCGTTTTTCCACAATTTGTCCATGATACGTATCATTTGTAAAGCAAGCATGTCTTGTCTTAAGTCGTCACCGTTCTTAAATATTACATAGATATCATCGCCATGGGCATCATCGTTCTCAAACACAATCCATAACGGTTTCATTTTACTGTCCATCACTCGGCACTTTTCAGTTCTAACACAAATATTTAACATTACTTAAAAAATTCAAATAAACATTGTATAAGTGTATTGGCGTTGCAAGTACCTGACTTTTTTACACTTATAGCTAGGATCCAAAGGATTGTGTACGGTCGACATGGCCTCTATGCAATGGGCTTCTTGAAAGTATTCTTGCAAAAACGACCGGGCTTTCTCTTTGTCACGTCGCTGTCTAACCAACTCCGTGGTCTTTTTCAGTTTTTCCAAAAAATCCATTTGGCGAATAAGGGTTTTCATGTGTTCAATAGACCCACGACAGTACGCTTCCAACATGAGACCAAAGCGTACAGACACGGACGCCACTTGCATTTCCGACCTAACATTTTTTCAGTATTTTTATTAAAAGTGTCCAAATAATATTTTAAAACACCTACCTGAGGTGCCAAAATAAATAGTGACCGATTTTTTGATTTTGCAATGCTCGTGTGAGCAAAAATTCAACTAGATCACAACACAGATAAGACTCGTGTTTCAGAGCTTGGACGAGTTGTAAAAGAAACAAAGAAAGATCTTCGTCACTGTAACAAAAAACATTTTGATCAACATTAATTGTACGGTATAATTTTTGGCGTAATGTCTCACCTCAATTTTTGTAAACACTTAACGGCGAAACTCCGAACTACTTGGTCGGCGTACGCATAGTCGAGAAGTTCTAACGCTTGCTGTGGACCGAGCAGTGGCCATTTGGAAACCAGTGTGGTGGCTTCCGCTACTTCCCAGCGGATACCCCACTCGACACAATCCAAAAGTTTGGCCAACAGTCCGGGCACAGATTGTAAAATATGGTATCTATGACGCCAAAGTTTTTTACGGTCCTGTTCGTGCATCTCATCCAAAGGTTCTCCGCGCTCTGCCATTGTTCTAATAATAATAAAAAAGTTGTTTTTAAAAATTACTCAAATTATAATACACATATATACAATACAAGTCGTTGTTATTTTATACTTTATTTGATCCAAATAGGTTTTCAATGATTGAGAATCTCCAGACGCCTGATCATTGAAATCGTCTTTTCCCTTTTTTTCCGCATATTCTTGTAATTTTTCCAGGCCAGGATATACGACCATGTGGTCTGGTGGTTGGTAACTAAAATAAAACAAAGAGTCAAGGTTATTTTAAAAACCTACATGTTTAGAATGGTTAATTTTACAAACCTATGAAACGTTATAGTAAGTGCAGTCGTTTGTTCGATATTGGGATTGGACACTACAGTACCGAGTGGATGTAACAGGTCTTCGTTTTGCATGTCGTCTGCATAAGTCCACATGTATAAAGTAATTGATCCGCTTTTTAATTGGTTTTTAAAATCGTAGACCGTAGTATTGACCCAGTCCATTGGCGTCACAAACATTTCCTACAATTTATTCAATCAATAGATTGTTGATTAGAATTGTAAATAAATTATTCAAATAACTATTCTAATCAAAATGTATTAAACAATTGCCCATCTCTAATTGTAGGTATAGAATAATTTAAAAAAATTGCTTTGTATACTTGTTTTGATTCTTTTATTCTCCTCGTTCTGAGCCCTTTAGATGTCTTGGACACTTCATATACTACTAGGCATAAACGAGCCATGCGCGGTATGTCGGCAACTGTCATGTCAAACACTAGTTCTTCATCCCACGTACAGTCGCCATTGTTGACAACTTTTTCAGACGTTCTTACACATTCACACAGAGCTTTGCCGCCGTGAAATAATGCTGCTTCAATTCCTACTTCTACGGTTCTAGTAACATCACAGTTTAATTTGCTTATATAGTTGACTTTAAATTTGAATTTTTCTTCTATGTCAAAAGATAGTTTGTGTTTTGTTTTTTTGCGTAACGTCAACGTAGTTCTAGTTTTGTTTTGCTCTGTCATGTCAGTCTGGTCGACACATACTTCTTCTGGAACTGAAACGTAATTACACGGGTAAGGTAAACAGTAGGAGTGTTATTAATATTTTACCAATGAATGTCTTACCTGGAACATTATACTTGGAAGCAGCTACTAAAATAGGGTTGAGATCTTGAGAAAGACTATCTTGGACATATGCAAAATCGATTAAAGGATGCGGTCCGACAATATATTCCTCTCGCCCACACACTTTTAATGTGAAGTCTGAACACTTTTCATTTCTCGTTTTTAACGTCATAGCACGCTTATTGATAATTTGCATCATTAATTGATCCGGAGTTGTAGTAAGACCAACATTAAAAGTAAATGTCGTCTGAAATAAAACATTATTTAACCATTTTTTTTTAAATTTATTTTATAAACAATAATAATTACCTCGGTGTTATCAAATTTCACAACAACTGAAAAGTTATCGTCTCTCAGTCTTCTAGTAACTGTTGCAGGTAAGACATTTGACGATAACGTAGAAGCGGCTAAACGCGGTGCAAATTGATATAGAAGTCGTTCTAACCAACTTTGTCTCCGACGATCAGCTTGCATTTGATCGGCTAGTGCTTTCATTTTTCCACGAAACTGATTTACTTCGGAACTTTTCAAAGAGTCAAATTCCATTAAGCCTAGTTTAAAAAAAATGTATTAAACCAAAAGAGTAAATACAAAGATTTCAATAGCCTGCCCAACATGAGTGAGACGAGGCAAACAATAAGTGTATCCAATTGTTACTGTTGAATTTAAATTGATAACTGCAGAAAGAGGACAATAGCAAAATTGATAATGGTGAACTTTCCTATTTTTGCAGTTACCGATTCAAATGCTCACTACATTATTTACCTTTTCCAATTAAATTGCTGATTTGAGCATTAAGTACATTATCGGCTTTGTCTTCTTGACGTTCTACAATACTAAGCACAGCTAAAAATGGTTGAACATCACACAGTCTCTTGTTCTCATCAACTAGTGTTACACGTTGGGCCATTGCGTTTACATAGATTATACTATAGCTGCTCGAATCGTGCAACATACCGTGCAACGGGTATTTGACGGCCTCTTCCCAAAGTTCCTATAAAGTCATATTGTAACATTAATTACATAGTAGCTATCATTGTTTTTCAAGATACTCTCACATACCTCTTTCAGCTCGTGCAAAGAAGTACTCTTAGATACCGTAAGAGGTATGGAAACACTATTGGGCATGAGGCACGTTACTTCGACGACAGAATCACTGTTTTGATTCCAAAAATTGAAATCAAAACTAGGTGGAATGTTGTACACCATTTTTACAGCTGTTTGTTCACAGTTTCTCACGTCATTATATAGATCGCAAAATGAGGTCTTCTTCGGTTTTCTAAAATAAAAAATTATAATAACAACAATAACTAATACACTACATTGAGTCTGAAATAGAAAAAGAGAAATATACTCAAGTACAAATACACCAACTTTAATTAAAATTTCATAAATCCGAAATGTTTTTAAAAACTTACTAGATTAGTCTTGTAATTTGTAACAAATAATGCTATTCCATTTTTAATACTTTTCGATTTTTATACATTTTTTGATAAAATAATTATTTAAAAGGCCATTAATAAAAATACTATTGTGTTAATTTATGTTGCATAATTCCATAAAAACTTGAACATCCTTACAAAAATAAAAAACTGAATCATCTTGATGTTATCACTTGTTTTCAATTGATTATGATTACAATAATATTATTTTGTTCGTTTTGTTGTTTTTTTTTTTTTGGGGCAAACATTTAACACAAAAAATATTGTATTGTTCCGGTTGATTATCCGTGTACAATGTAAATATTTCCAATTTGGCTACACTGCCGGGAGAAAGCTCCGTGGACGCCATCTGTTACGTACGTGAACGAAGCTGTTATCTTGAATTTCGCTCTCGAGTTGTGGTGTAATTTTTACATTTTATTTTTTTTTTCCTTCAAATTCCGTCCTTCGTAATTCGCAAAATAGGTATCATCTTGTATACGTGTGAAACATTTCCGTTGTGTTTTTTGGGTTTTTCTCGAGTGATTTTCCCCGTGTCCGTTTGAGTCGACGACGAGCAACGTTGTTGTACGGGTCACAGACCAGAAAGCCGTCGAACCTGGTGGATAGAGACGAAAAACATGATATAATTTGCCGAGATTGTAGACGTCAACAGAGTGGGCCTTATCATATCCGTGCCAGTGGCAAGGCAAGTAGTGACATTCTACCAGTCGCCTACATTTTTCAGAAAATCATCTTCCACCCTTGTGTGTGCCCTGTCGCGGTTGTCCCCGTCTTGCTCATTCGACAATCATGTTGAGCCGCGCCGACGGTCTAGTACAACGGCGCAACGTCAACCGAGACAACCCAGATGGTACGTCCAGAGAAAACGGCCATTCCACGGACAAAGCCGATTACGAAGAGGACATAGACGACGGTGACTCCAAGGAGACCCGACTGACCCTTATGGAAGAAGTATTATTGTTGGGCCTCAAAGACAAAGAAGTGAGTTTAACAGCGATGTCAAAAACAGTACACATCGTTTCAGCCTCGTCATAATAATGTTTTTATAAAAACTGATTTATACGTGTGATTTTAATTGGTTAGAAAGTTTTGTTTTTACAAAATTGAGATGATTTCTTAAACAAAAGTTAGTAGTCCGTGATTGGTCCATTAAAGTAGTCAATCTGTTTTACAGCCCTGAATAAGACATTAAATTGTATGTCACTCGTTCATAAAAAAAAGAAATACTTAAGTTCTTATGTCTTATACCCTTTTGTGCTAATTTAAATATTTAAACGCATGTTATAAAAAATTAAGTGTATAACAGAAATTTCTTATCACAATTATTGTGTTTGACCTAAAAAATTTTTACTTAAACTGAATTTAACTATAGAATATGTTGTCTACTTGAAAATTGGTATCAAAAAATTATTATTACCTATTTAATTAAATATTTATTGTTGGCAAGTGTTTCTATACCTAGAGTCTATAGAAACAAATGTCGATTGTTGGCAAAAATCAGTATCATACCAATTAAATTACACTGTTATATTATATCATGATATCACGGAGACCTAAAAACAAGAAATATCCTAAGTAATTGTTTTGTTTTTTTTTTTATTAATGAAATATAGGGCTATACGTCATTCTGGAATGATTCAATATCATCTGGATTACGAGGCTGCATATTGATTGAACTAGCACTTCGGCAAAGAATCGAATTAGAAAAAGCTGGAATGCGGAGAAAAAGTTTACAAACAAGAAAAGTGATTGTAAAAAATGATACGCAGACGGGCGATGTTCTTCTTGATGAAGCTTTGAAACATATCAAAGAAACAAATCCTCCGGAAACAGTTCAAAGTTGGATTGAATACTTGAGCGGTACTTTATTTTATTTAAAACTTAAAATTATGACATTTTAAAAACTTTAATATCCTAAATTTTAGGTGAAACTTGGAATCCGTTAAAAATCAAATATCAATTGAAAAATGTACGAGAACGGTTAGCGAAAAACTTAGTAGAAAAAGGTGTTCTTACAACTGAAAAACAAAATTTCCTTTTATTCGATATGACCACGCATCCGTTAACAGATAACGAAGCAAAAGTTAGACTAGTAAAGAAGGTATGTTTCAAATGTATTATAGCAGTAGTTATAATGATAATAAAAGATCATTATTATTTAGGTACAAGATGCGGTTTTGTCTCGGTGGATTAACGACCCACATCGAATGGACAAGCGACTTTTGTCTCTGTTACTACTGGCACAAGCATCGGATGTATTAGAGAGTGCGTTTTCTCCGTTAAACGATGAAGATTATGAATTAGCCACCCGAAGACTAAGGGAGTTATGCGATATGGACCTGGAAGTAGAATCAATGAAAGGGTCGACAAATGATGTTATTTGGGCAGTATTTGCAAACTTCAATAAATAAGTAAGTAATGTAATGACCAAACTGTTAACCAATGTTTATTAAACAACAATTTTGTTAAAGGTTATTATATTTTATATAACTACCTATATTTAGTATATTATTCGAAACAATACTAATTGTTTTAACATTTTTTTCTTTATGAAATAATTTTTTTATTTTAAGCAATTATTCCACTGCATCACTTGTTTACTAGTTGTATTTTTATCAATGCTGATGTTTAGAATTTTGAGTGTTGATCCAAATCTTCCACTCTTATCGATGATCAATAATATTATTGTTATTATTGTTAATTTATTAGAAAATGAAATAACAAAGCTTAATCATTCGGAGATGAATGTTGTACAAATGTCTTACAAAAATTTAAACAATAAATAGTAGCTGTTTTATGTAAAGTGGAATGAGCAATTTTGCTAATTTCATCTCAAATCAAATCACTTAGTAATGAATCTACATATTACGTTAAACTACATGCTTATGTTATAACATAAATTATCATTTGAAAAAGCGACGAGATTTCTGTTTTTTGTTTTGTTTTGTTAATATTTCAGTTAAATACTGATCTCGAAACTACATAATGTATAGTGCCATCAATATTTTTTAATTTAATTTTTACCGGTGATTTAAATTAAAATATATATTTTTTAAAATTGTATTTATTTATTATAATATGGAACATTAAAATGTTTTTTTTTTTTTATGTAGTTATTGTTCTATATTATTTTTGTTTAACAAATTAATTACGAAATTATTTTCATTTGTTTTAAAGCACTTCAAATACATAGGCTATGTCTTCCATTCCTTTTTTTTTTAAACATGATAATTAGTAATAGTATTGGATTTCATATAGTATAATCTTATTATTTGGTACATTTCAAATTATTTTTTGCGTTCTCTCCTCAATGTGATGACAACTCCTGAAATATATTATTTACCTTTTTTTTTGTGTTATGTTCATTTTATTAAAGTTGATTTGCTTGAGTTTTTATTTCCGTAATAGGTACCAATCAATAATGTATGTATATAATAATTAATTATTGGTAAATTGTGCAAAGTAATGGTTGTATGAAAATAATAATGCTATATGTACGGCTGTGATGGGTATTTAACAAAATTTATTCTTCAATTTTTACTATTATTATTATTATTATTATTATTATTATTACTTTATTTATAATTTTAATAGTTTACCTACTTTATTCACTTTGAAACACCATGTATATAGAATTGATATTATTTAATTATATAAGTTTATATATTATCGAATAAAATGTGTAACATTATTTGTAAATAACTACATCATCTATTTAGATGAAGTTCTTGGGTCCGTTTCACATCGGCAAGCGGCATATAAAATACATTAAATATAACAATTCATATCTATGTGTGTGGTACTGCCACTAAGTTTTTGCAACCGGTGTTCTTTACGATCCAAACGTGTGACTTGGTCGGTTCTAAATTTAAATGCGGCGTTTGAAAATACTGTACACGTATTGTGAAACGGACCTTACTGTGACCTACGCATAAACCATTTTTATGTTGAAACATTATTTTAAATCATTTTAATGTATTATAGTTATAAAATTTAATTTTTTTTTAGTTTATAAATATATATATATATATATATATATATACATTTTTCCAATGTATTATTAATTTGTAATAATTTACTGCTCTGCTTCTATGGTTACGCTAATTTTTTTTTTAAATTTAATATTGTTATTGGAAAATCCTTTTATTAGACTTAAACTTTTATATACTATGTCAAAAACATCCCAGACACTTGTATGTGTGTGTCTATAACTTAGGAAAACATAAATATAATGAAAACTATTTTATCAAAATGCTATATTGATTTAATGTAGTAAAATTTTTTTCTCTACGATTAATGGAAAAAAATTAATGTACCTATTATTTATATACACATTTCTATAAAGTGCGTTCTACTTAAAAAATTAGGTTTTTTTTTTTTGTAAATATAATATTACATTTTTTAAATGAAAAAATAAATATTATAGCTTTTACTTAATACAATTTATGATGTAGCATGATGTCAACATTAATATACTAAATTTAATACTAGATACTATTACTGTATTAAGCCTCGATACACTGTATTTTTTAATTACATGCATGTGTTTTAAATGTTAGGTTTAATTATTATGATTATGAACATATAGAAATGTCGAATGCTCAAAACCGATCAGTATGTGTTTTGCTTCATGTACAAAAAATACCTCTTTTTACGTGTACTCTTTTTATTTATATCAAAATGTATAGTATAATAATTACATTAACATTTATATAAAATACAATAATTGTGATAATAATGAGTAAGTATTTTACTAGCAATGCAATAAATAGTACCGATCTGATTATTTTCACAATCGCATATCCCAAATGATTAATAATTAATTACGTACAATAATTAGCGCTTTAAAGTAGTTGTTTGTTTACAAAGACATTGGCCTGACACTAGGAAATTGTGCAAATGCCATAACTTTTAATCAAATCATGATGACAATAATGTCTACCCTGAAATTTAAACTGAACAGATTATTAGTTCCTAATAATCCCATCCAGTGTTTAAAAAAAGTAAGGGTATTCAGGATATTTGTTTAGATTTTTCAGTCATATAAATTGGGCGAAGCCAAATAGACAACACGTATTACGCATCAAAATTAAGAGTTGCAAACGTGCAGGAGACGAGTTTTTTTTTATAACGATAAAAAAAATATTTATATTATTTAAATATTAAAAACTAATGTTAAAGCCGTTGAAGAACTTATAAAAAAAAAAAAAAATGATTTTTTTTTTATCTTTCCTCAATTGTAATGTGTTAAAAAATGATTAAATTGAACGTTTGAAACTGACCAACTCGATTTAATTGGTTGTGATCCAAGTATAATCAATTATACAACCGTTGAACTAGGTATATAATTGCAAGAACTCGAGTATTATAGATAACTTACCTCGTTTTAATTCGACCAGATTAACATTTAACGTCATACCTACTATATAGCGATCTTAACTACACTAATAATGTATTATATTATAAAGAATTTATTAAAAAATGACACGCATCTTACAGACGAAAAATGAGTATAATAAATGCATGTACAAGTGTCATATAATATATATTATAAGACACTGTGGTGTGTATTTAATATATGTATTAAAGATTCCAATTATTTTTAAATTGGCAGTAAAAAAGTGAGACAAAATAATATATCAATGGAGATTGGAGAACATCAATGCACATCATCATCATATTATGCGTCATACGACATAAGGTCATATTAAGTTTTCAATAACATTAATAATAATTATTACATATAAATAAGAAGTTAGATCAGTCACACTAATAAATATAATTTGCTCCAGTGTACTAAAGTGCATCACACCCAAGGCGATAAGAAATTTTGTGATATTTTTTCTTAGATCATAAAATACATATTGTATATTATGATTTAAGTGTTCTTTATCGTATACATTTTATTTTGTTTCATTGTAAATGTTGACTACTAAAATAAATACAATAGAAGTAAATGCTCAATGTTGGGTTATGGGACAATTGACTCGTTCATTAATTATTTCTGATGGTATTATTATTTTTTAATTATCCCGAAGTAGTGGTAATCATTAACTATCAAATGTCTAGTAGTAAATAATTTACAGTATAAATATTTATAATTGTACTAAAAATTATAAAATGCATAATAGTATTATGATACTAATTATTAAAAGTACTGTCGAATTATCATTAACATTACTAATGTTATTATTTACAATATCATAATGTTACTAAATTATCTTAGTTGCTGTTTAATTTTTTATTGTATTTTCCAGTTAACTGATAACCAGTTTCGGATAATTTCTTTTCAAGCTAATAAAGCTTAAAATTTAAGACAGGATGAATGGTGGAAGTGTATATAGTGTTATTTTTAACATCTGCATCCATTATTCCAGCGCACTTCGCCTCCTGTCTTTAATAGAAAACTTTATTAAGTAACTATTATAGAAGAATAACTAAAAACTAGTAAAATAGACCAGTTAAAACTGTCAGCAAATTATTGTTAACTTAAAAAATTAATTAAATATTTACAACCTTGGAAAAAATACAAAGAGCTCTAAAGCGACTTAAAAATGTGGGAAAATAAGTGAGCTGTAACGATTCACATGTTCTTTTTTCCTTTAAAAATAATTATTCTGAATAACATGTTTGCGTCAACTACCAAAGGTATTGTTATTTCAATTATAATTAGGTAAATAAAAATGCATTACCAGGTAACTAAATTTATTTTATTTTATTTTGCATATGGCATTAATGTCCTAGAGTAGGCCCGAAGGTCTAGTTCATTTATTATGTACCAGACTGTTTGTTTAAATTTCTCTTTAGAATATATTTAAATAATATTATCAATTTGACATTTGATATATAATCTAATAATAATTAATATAGCCTAGGTGTACTCGGTATATAATTGCCCCTACTGGCTTCTTCCATCTGGGTACATTATAGATTATTATAGTATCATAATTCATAATATACAATGCCCGCATGAAATTCATTAATACCCTTATACGCCCCTTTTTTGTAGGCTTATAAATCATAATATTTCAATATTTTATTAGTAAATATCATAAATGAAACACACTGAAACCCGAAAGGGGATTGCTGTACTTGCTAATAATTTTAACATCAAATCAACTACCCTAATTTTATAATAATTAGCTATTGCCGTTATTTCCTGTTGTGCGGGTTTTATGAACTTTGATTCCATTTCTCTGTAATTATATTATGCACTGTTCGTCTATTATAATGTATATTAGTTTTATGATGCTTAGACTTTTGTCTTCTTTGTAAATCCACAGGTAATTCGCCGCAAATCGCGGTTAGGAAAAATTATGCTAGTTCATATCGTTTTGATTTTGCCGTCGTAAATCGAATAGGTAGTTAATGAAAAAATTTAATGTTTCTTGGACGCGGTTGCGTCAATGACATGACCCTCATATGTATATATTAAACTAATGTATACCGACAGCATCTCACTGACCTTAGATTTTTAATACACCCAAGTGTATATAAGTATAGTTTATAAATAATATGTACCTATAATTACACAATAGTATAATTTACACAAATTTAATTATGAACATCGTCAGTCGTTACCAAAGTCCACCTAGTTTCAAAACGTTAAGGTATTAATAATATGTACGTGAAAACGATTCATTTATTATATATTAATTATACTATTATTATAGTGTATACATATATAACGAATACTACACTGATAATTGTAGATTATAATTTTATAGAATAAATGCATTTTAGTAGACTATATCTCACAATCCGACCGTTTTAATAGTCGTTAATATCACAGTCGATGAAATATTTACGATACAAATATATAATATGTATTCTATAATTCAACAAAATGCTTGTTTATTACAATGTCCAATTATATGCAATAACGTACTCACATGTGCTTTTAATTGAAATTAATAAAAACTATACAGAAGTAAGTACCAAAGGTCTAATTCCAAAAGGACCAGCCGTCTAGGTCATTGAATTATAATATACATTGTATATTAGTATCTCAATATTTTGTGTTTGTATATAGTAATTTGTGCTGCACTTAATACTTAATAATTAATATGTATGAATATTGAAATAACGATTAAGTTTTAATTTTTATACTATGATGCAAACATCATGGTGACAAATCACCTTTAAATTAAAAATAATTTATCAGGATACAGCAAATACCAATATTTTATTTTATTAAATAAGTAACTATACGTCTTTAAAGTAGATTTAACAATTATTTTCCTAACAAAGTAATTCTAATTTATAATAAACTTTTCATAAATTATGTATTATTTTGATATAGTTTATAGTATTAGTATATAAAGCCAGAGCCGTCTTAACGTTTTATGAGGCCCCGGGACAAACATATTTCGGGGGCCTTTTGTGCATTAAACATTTTTACTCACAATATTTGATTAAATATTCTTTATTTTTTTTTATAACAAAACTAAATTTTAATTAATTATAAAATCAAGAAGTCTTTTTTTTTTTTTTATTTAGTTCTTGCAGTACATCGTCGGTCTCTACGATTATGGGTTTTGCTAATGGCCATTGGTGCCGACTGCCAAGGCCAATAATTATAATTTAAACAAATATATTTTTTAAAGTTTTAATGTAAATTTATATAAAACCTATGGAATGCCATTGTAAAAGAATACACAATGTAAAATATGTTTTTACTGCATTTATTACAGTTTTTAATATTATGATAATTAATTCCCAATTTTCAAAGCACAATGCAGCGTTTGCTGTCCTGTTCACTATTTACCAGTATAAATAATAATATATTTGTTATATTTTGATATTGGAATGGTTTCGAGGTATTTTTAATTCACTTTCGAGTGTCGACATAATTGATAATAGTATTCCGTTATCAATGGAATGATACAAAATTTTTAACTGATATGTGATAACAGTAAAATATAAGCAACAATAATAAATAATAATATTAAAAAAAAAAATTATAAATATTATTTAATTGTCATTGAATTTTAGTAAAAGTAACTGTTGGCAAATCTCGTCTTAACTTCTCGATAGTCCTTTTTACTGAAAAAACAACGACCGGTATCGAATCGACATCCTTATGACTGTTTATATACACGCAAGAGTAGCTAGTTTTAAAGTAAACTTTTGATTTATCATTTTATTTGTCTACATTTTGTGAAAAATTGATTTGATTATCATAGTTCTCTAAAATTAAATTGAAAATGAGTAACGAAGAAACGAGTATTCACTGGTTCCGGAAAGGTATGCGTTTGCACGACAATCCATCTTTCAAATTGGCTTATGAATCAAAAAATAGTGCTGGTCAGTACTACAAACTTCGTCCTATTTATATATTAGACCCATACTTTCGAAAACACATTAGAGCTGGAATGAACCGTTGGAGATTTTTGCAACAAAGTTTAGTTGATTTGGATTTGTCGCTCAGAAAACTAGGTACACGGTTGTACGTTGTCAGAGGATTACCTGAAGATGTATTTCCTGGTTTATTTACAAAGTGGAATGTGAAATTATTAACATTTGAATTGGATACTGAACCGTATGCCCGTAAAAGAGATGAACATGTAGAAAATTTAGCTAGACAACACAAAGTCAAAGTGGAACAAAAGGTTTCCCATACACTTTACAATACAGAATTAGTACTTAGGGCAAACAAAGGCAGTGTTCCTATGACATACCAAAAGTTTGTGTCTGTGGTTAGCTCTATGCCAGAACCTCGTCGGCCTTTATCGGCTCCGACCATTTTACCTGCAGAATGTCTTCTCAACGACGACCTTGAAAATGAGGAATATGATGTGCCGACATTGGATGAGCTGTTGACTTTAAAAGGTTTTAATCCAGAAGACATAAAGCCTTGCTTGTATCCGGGTGGCGAAGTGGAAGCCTTAAGACGCTTAGAAGAATACATGAAAAATAAGACTTGGGTTTGCAAATTTGAAAAACCCAACACAGCTCCCAACAGCTTGAAACCAAGCACTACCGTGTTAAGTCCTTATATGAAATTTGGATGTTTGTCTAGTAGTTTATTCTATTACCGATTGAAAGAAGTCATTGGTAATAGTGCACATTCAAAACCCCCAGTGTCGTTGATTGGTCAGCTGTATTGGAGAGAGTTTTACTATACAGTCGGAGCTGCTACTCCCAACTTTGATAAAATGCTTGGGAACCCAATATGCTGTCAAGTTCCGTGGGACAGCAATCAAGAAGCGTTGGAAGCATGGGCCAACGGTAAGACGGGCTACCCGTTTATCGACGCCATTATGAGGCAACTGAATGATGAAGGTTGGGTGCATCACTTAGCTAGACACGCAGTTGCTTGTTTTCTAACTCGTGGAGACCTGTGGATTTCGTGGGAGCAAGGTTTAGCGGTTTTCGAAGAACTATTATTGGATGCAGACTGGTCTATGAACGCCGGTAACTGGATGTGGATGTCGGCATCGGCGTTCTTTCATCAGTTTTATCGGGTTTACAGTCCAGTGGCGTTTGGAAAAAAAACTGACAAAAGTGGCGATTACATTAGAAAATATGTTCCAGAATTAATCAAGTATCCTGATGAATATATCTATGAGCCGTGGTCGGCACCGAAATCAGTTCAGTATAGAGCCGGATGTGTGATCGGCGTGGATTATCCAAAAAGAATAGTCGTGCATGAAGAAGTGTACAAAATCAACATAACGAAAATGTCTTTAGCCTACAAAAACACAAAAGCGATTAAAGAGAAAAATGTTCATCCGGCGCCATCCCCAGAGGAAAAACAGAAAAAAAAACGCAAATTCAAATGACGATTGGCTGTATGGTTTTGTTATTGTTTTACCGCATGCGTCCTTTGCTTTATAATACACACTCATGTTAAAAATATTTTGTTGATTGTTAAATTATTATTATTTTTTTGTACCTATTAAAAAATAAGTAAATTATTAAAAAATTTCATACGTCGTCGTCGCGCGTTACGTACAAAAGTGTAAATAATATATTTTTCTATGTTTATTATAAGATTTTCGTTATTTATTTTTATTTAGAACTTGACCTCAATGACAGGATGATATACACGGTTTACTATCTGGCGTTTAAATTTATTTCAACCTTAACCGTGTGACCGGTTACGGTGCCGTGCGTGCTCACAGCTTGTTTGCGCCAAATGCCTAATGGCAATTTTGGCAAATACGACGCCTTAATAATATATAATATCTATTAATACATTTTTTTTAAATAATAAACACAGAGTCTCTGTTTTCGCATAGGAGTCGGGAGAAAACGCAATTTTATCGCCTAAGTAAATATACGGTAATTTCAGTAGGTGCGTGTCGAGCATTGAGCACGGCCCACGGGCCACGGCAGTCGACAACCGGCGAAACTACGTCGTAAGCGGTAAGTCGTTACTCGTTGATCAGTGAGGCGAGGAGTCACGAGCTTAGGGTGGCTGGGGAGGACGGGGGGGGGGTGATCGTTGGTGTGCTCCGCTGCTATTGGCTGGTCCGGAAGTGGTGCGATACGATGGGCGCGCGCGATTCGTCGCGTCCGCCGGGCGGCGGTGGCCGTCGACCATGTGACGTGTGGCAAACACACGTTGCCGTCGGCGGTCGCGCGGCCACAGGTACGTAGGTCCGGTCGGCGACGTTGCGCGCGAATGGCCGTCGGGGCACTGGCGTTCGCCGTACATGCATATACGACTCGCTGACGTCCCGTGCCCCGGTGACGTCACTCGGGATCGCCATTGAGCGTACCTACAACCCGCCGGTCCCGTTTGAGCGGTTTGTGCGCGAAAAACGGCCGTCCGTCTTGACTCTCGATCGGCAATCTCAAATCGATGTCCGATATTGTGTCGGCTGGTCGCCTCATTATTGTATTACCGTCGCTCTATTAATAGACCAATAATAATATAATAGAATACACATAATTGGCATCGACTGTCGATTGTCGTCGGGCAAGTATTCGCGTTTTTAAATTGAATATTAGTTTTTAATAATAATTGTATTATTGAACACCAGTCGGCCGTTACTGTCGTCGTCGCCGGGATTGTTGTGGGTACGCCGTTCTCCCATAGGCCGACGTTATTATAATTTTATAATTTTCGATGGTTATAATGTTATAATATTATCTGTTGCCGTTTGGAAAACACCGGAATCCGGTTGAAATATAGATAGAACCGTTTTCGGGTATCCCGCCGTCAATGTGTTGCTCCGCATGATCACTTATCGACCTTTTACCGTTTAAATTATGGTAGTTCGTGTATGAAAACGAAATTTTTCATTTCAATTCCCAGCCTGCCATTCGAATTTCTTTATCGCATTAGTTCCTATAACACCGGCGTTCGTCATTTAACAATTTACCACGAAAAAGTTGCCAACCGATCAGTTTTTTTTTTATCAACCTTATCATATTCATCTGATCGTCATCAACTGAAGGGGCTCGACGGACGTGCAAGAGGCAATAAAAAGGTAACTACACCAAAGACTTAATGGATGCTTGGATACTATGTCGAGATCTATGTAAAATAATTATATTGTATAAATAAATATAAATTACCTACGTGTTATTTTACGCGTAATTATAATACATCACCTAACCCTTTTTATTACAACTTTTTCAACGAAAGCCTTAAAACTTTAAATAATGTGGACACACACTTGAGCATCGAGTAATGTAACACGAGTTTATGTTCGTGCATGTCAAGCAACAGCAACACATGTAATCATTATGGATACAGTACGCCAAAAAGTATATATTAATATATTATATACCCATCATTTAAAAAAAAAAAAATTTGTTTAAAGTTTTTTGGTATTTAATTTCTGCTTGTCGATTTTAATTTGCATTTGTTATGGTTCTTTTGAATTTTTATTACTTATCACGACATTGTACCTATGACACGTGTAATAGAGGTTAAACGGACAGTCATTGATCTCCCTTTACTTTGTCTTTCGTTACTATTGCTTTCGTTTGATATTTTACAGCGCATCAGACGTACAACCCTTTTGATATTGTTGCATGTTGTCTTGTACAATAGTTTGCAATAATTATCTTTGTTGTGATATATCAGATTATCATGGTTATTAGTACTAAATGCCTGAGGCATGTGTATTGCTAATTGTATTGTTAGTAGCTGTCTGGTTTTTATGCTAATTGTACCTGCAAATGTTGGTGAGTTCTCTTGTTACATTAATATACTAAAGGTATAATGTCAAATTATTTTGTATATTTAGCTGTTAGTTAGACATGGTTATTTTAGTTGTTAACATTATGTTACCTAGTTGTCCTTTAATTAATTACATGGTTAAAATTTGCAATTAATTTTTAAATTGGGTTTTCCAATAAATACAGATAATTTATAAGAAACGGCATAAATTATACTTATTAACAGCATAATAAAACAAATTAAAGCCACACATAATACAATCCAAAGTCTTTGTCAAACAATTATTTTGTTAGACGACTAGATATTTTATATATTTTGCACATGAACATTATTTCTTTCGCTAAACAATATTTACTTTTTTTTATTAGAAATATAATTATTTAAATCTTTTCTTTTTAATTTTTTTTAAAAAAAGTATTTTTTTTTTTAATTTAAAAAATAAACATGCAATCTTTTTAACTATTTCTTTTTGATGGTTGCTATTTGTTGTAGTTTATTTTGATGTATGCATTACTAACGAAAATTCCAATAAAATTGCCAATGAATTTCTGTATAATTATTCATAAAAGTATTAACCTTTTTCTATTATATTCTGCAATTGATAAGTAAAATTGTAATAATTTATTTTTTTATTTGATTTGCTGGCTCTAGTCTAAGAGTACTATGTTTTATTGTTATATTATCATTTTTATTTTTTATTTTATTTTTTCTGATTTATCAATATGAGTTCATTTAATGAACTACTTATGTTTGGTATATGCAGTTTATATTTATTTATAATTTAACAATATTTTGATAAGTATGGTAATGATAAACCAAAATAATTACATTAATGCTAGATGAATATAATACAATTATTCTACATAAATGTGACTTGGGTCTCTATGATAATATTTAATTGTACTAATTCAATATAATCTAAACTATCAATAGACAATATATTGGTTCTATTTTATTACTCTTGTGGTATATGTAGCTTGAAAGTTTATTATTAAGTATAATATATAGGTATGTTTTATTATTGCATGAAGTATACCCAAGTCATTTTTTTCATCAAACTTAAAATGTTGGTATGAATGATAATAACTTTATTTTAATAATAGGCAGACAAATTGTGGTAATTTTTAAAAAAACTGAAACGTTTTATGTCTGCCCCCACCATACACAAACTCTTTTTTTTGAGGTGCTGTAAGAATTATTTATGTTTTTATACATTCAAATAAAAACATGCTTATAAATTTAAAAAGTTTTCATTAATTTACAATATTGTAATGACAGTAAATACAATTATTACAAATATTTGTATTATGACTTTAGCAGAACCATAAAAGAAACACTTTGATGTATTTAATTTGTTTTAAATTTTGTTATGTAAAGAAATAAAAGTTCAGAAACTCAGGGACGTTGTAGCAATCGTTTTGAGCTAATTGAAAATGACAATTATTTTAGGTACATTTAAGCAAGTTGTTTTTTAAAAAAACTATTGTCACGTTACTGTTATTTGCTTGTTTCTTTGGCTTGTCATAAACAGAGCGCTATGAAAATGTATGTTATCTTATAACAACTTCTAAAATGAAATAAAAAGTGCTGTTTTTTTTGTTGTAATTTTTTGCTTATTGACGACCATTGACAAAAGCCCAGATATATTTTATCTATAATTTTTTTTCTCAGTGCGTATGCATTAGAACTTTTCTTTGGTTTTTGTCTACTTGTCGCGTCAGTCATTGCTGGCCATGGGGCAATACAAATATTTTAACACTGTAATAATATAACATTATACATTTAATGAAAAATGAATTTCAATGAAACCGATTTCAATTACACTTTGGTAGGGTAACCTTAAGTGAAAATTCAAAGACTTAAAAGTGTTTTGCCGTTTTTGTCAATGAGTTCTAGTTATGGAGAAAATTGACTATAAAGTTGATGAAACACTTTAAATAGATGATAAATAGAAGAATGTCACCACTTGTTATGTTTGTGCCTTCTGAAATTTTGTATTTATCACCGACTTAAAACAAAGTTCCATCAAATTAAAAATATATTTTTCTTATTAATACTTAAATTATATAAAATAAATAAAAAGCGAGCAGAGTGGGGTCAGAACTCGGAGAGGTCACAAGATTGATTTTAAATTATTATATTATTACAATTAATTTAATTAAAAAAAAGTTTACTTCAGATTTCTGCGAAAATTATATAATTTTTTTTTCAGTTCCCATTTATTGTTATTGTTGTGCAACCTGACCTTTTGTCATAATGTGAATATTATTTGTTGAAGGACAATTATAATAAATGTAAAGTTTTAATTTAACATTACACTACCTTTTATTGTAGTAGGATGGGAAATTTTTTCTATTATGTGTATTAGTAGTATATTTTATATTTATATTATTCTGTTCAGTATTTCTACGTTTTCAAAACACATTGTTGTTATAAAAGTATAATTCATAGTTGTTTCGTCTTAAAGCGTAAAAGTATTCAACTTTAAAATATCAGTGAAATTATTAATTGTCTTAAATTGTTTAGTTTCAAAAAAGTTTATATTTTGTATTGCTCACTAAATGTACACTGACGGCACAACAAATGTTTGTATTTCTGGTCTGGTTAAACTAACAATTTTTTTTTATTTATTACATTAATTATAAAATATAAATGATCCGACGATTTTTATATTATATATTATAATTAGATATGACTTAACTTTTTAAAAGAGTTTTTATTATTTAACAAATTGAACTATAGTTATATGAAATAGAGTTTTATTTAACTGATTTTAAAATAATCTAAAACTTTTGTCCTATGTTGTTGAAATATGATTTCTTTTGGCATTTAGTGTTTCTAAGTACAAATCATACAAAATTATCCTAAGGTAATAAAATTAAAAATACAAGTAATTTTTAAATATAATTGTATAATATGTAAAATATGTAATTCGTTTTAACTTATTGAGTTAATTATCATTTTCGTTAGTATATTGAATAATATTTTGTAGAATTTAAATAATTATATAGAACTCGTCCTTGTCTTAAATAAAAAAACCTTTTTTAATTTGTACCTACTTAAATTATAATTTTCTGATGTTCACAAAAGTAAAAAAAAAAAGTAAAAAATTAGGAATTCCGTTTTTCTGGTTTTTATTATTTATATATATATTTTTTTTTGTGGCCATTCATATATTTTTTGTGTTATCAAACGCACGAAGGGAAAGCAGCCTCGTTGACGGCAAATCATGATTATTTAAGTATCAGAATGAGGTCTACTCGTTTACAATAATATATTATGTTGTACACTTGTACCTGCATTCAGTACAAACGCGGTGAACTGTTATACGTACGTGTTTTAAGGTCATCATGGTCAAGTTGTAAGCTAAAATTATATCTTGTTTAGACATAAAACCTGTTTCATAGTCCACATTTTAGTTGTCTGTTGAAGTACATCCGTCATTTACTTCATTTTATTTTATTTCTCGCGTGGTTCAATAGACATAGATACCTATAAAAAATGTATAGTTAATGAAATATTTAGGCCTAATACCTATTTTAATTTTGGGTTATTAATATCATGATTAATTCCTATCAGTTTAATTTGTTGTTTTTTTTTAAATATATAATTCGAAGTTTTCACTTGCGCTTTTGATTGGTTATCTATTTCGAATTTACATATAATTAAAAATAACTGGATTTTGTCGAAAACTAAAAAACCCGGGAAAAGAATCAATTTAAAAAGTAAAATTAAGTAATGTGACAACAATTATTATTAACGGACGTGTTATAATATGTTAATAGATTATTTTTCAGACAGTCTAGAATTTTAATGATACAAATTGTAATCATGAACATGATCAGTTATACTAAGCTTCGAAGAACTTAGTAAATTTTGTTTACAACACTTAACACATTTTTTTACGCTTTAATGTGGTTTATGTATACATTTTTTATCTTTTCGTGTTTTTGCATGGTAAACCCAATCGCTTATTGAAAGAAATCAAAAGATGTCATGTTAGGTATAAGGCGGACTCGGGAATATAGATTTAAAATTATTTTGTACGGCACATTTTTTTCCCTTGACTGTAGGCAACAGTATTATAATCAAAAATATTAAATTCAACGCTGTGTACATAAACATAAACCCCGGATGTATTTTTTTTTTTGTAGAGAAGTGTCAAAATATATTATATTTTCAAATATTTCCGTCACGCGAATTGTTTTTCTGATTCCATTGTTTTCCACCTGTGGTGTTTACTACAGTCACCTGATATTGGGTGTCGATAAAAAAAAAGTTTTCAAGTCGACATATTTTCTACTAACCGTATATAAAACGGTCGTTAAATTATTTACATTGGCGTTATCGATTGGTCAAGTACGGAACAATGTAATTAGGCGCGATTTTATGACCTCGCTTATATTATATCATCATTATTATTATTATCGTGTCGTCATAAAAGTACTTTTTTCTTTTCTTAAACCTAAACAGACTCGGAGGGTGGGGAGAAAGGACAATACATCTTGGGGGGATTGAGTGGAATGACAGGGACAGACGTTGAACTTCTTAAAATGCATCCGGTCAGTCTGTCTGCATAGGTTTTTTTTTTGCACGATCTCTGACACGCTTAATCTTGGTCTGCGCGTGGTGTTTGTGTGTTCCATTCAACAATTTAATGTAGTTATTAACCCTTCCTGTTTTGTTAATATTGTTATGTGTGTTAAATATGTACCTTTAAGAGTAGGAGAGCTGTTCTATAGCTGTAGGAAAACACTCGAATACGGTATTGGAAAACCCTAACCAACACACGAGTCACGGATGACCTTGTTGAATGTCGAATCTGCGGTTTTGTACATACATATATGCACGGTAGATACCCGTTGTGTTAACAGTGTGTTTTTAGACATCAACACAAGTCGTATGTAGTTGTGTGTGTGTATTTCACAAAATTTTAAACAATTTTTTTTTTTGATAGCATAGTAAAATAATATGCACACTTACAGAAGACTAGATGTAAAACGTGTAACGGTATGTTTAAGTTATTTTTTTTTTTCAATTGCGAACGCAAAGTTGCTCTTCAGAAATACTTATTTTTAATAAACGTTGCATTCGTTATTAACAGAATTATTTTGATTATTCGGAATTATTAATTATTATTCGTTTAAAACAATTTCTTTTTACAAATTTCAAATTATTTCACTTAAACTTTTATCATTTGACGAAAACAACCAAATTAAATCTCATTCGGGATACAATTTACTTGTGCGATAAAATTTTGATTTTTTTTTGGTGATCCATGAAAAATGAATAAATTTGGCGACTTAGCGAATTTGTTAGCTTAATGTAAACAAAAAATTAGCTTATTTTTTATGTATAAGATATATTTAAATGATGTTTGATTCAATTGTAAATCGTTGTTACAATAAAAGTTCGACATAACTTTTAAGTTTGTTTGGTTTTTAGCTGTTAAAATACATTTTTTGTTTTGAAATTATATTTTTTATATACTTGCCTGGTGTGGAGGTCAATTTTGTTAATTTAAAAGTATTAATCTTTCTTCGTTTTACTCGTGGTTACTATTTGCTACTTTTTTTGTTTATTATTTATGCAACATGTTTTGTGTCCTATTCATTTGTTTTTATAAACTCGCCCAAAACACTTGCATGAACTCAAATTTCATATTCATATACTTATCCACGGCATCGGAATTTGTCTTCTTTTTTCCAAGCAATGTCCTGTATTTAAATGTTTACAGCTGTTTAACAAAAATGTTAAAATAAAGTTACTATTGTCTATTGGTGGTTTGATTTAACGAAAAGATATTCGTGTACTAGGTTTTAAGTGTTTTCATACATCCACACCAAAGCAAAATTCGTTAGTTGCCACTTGTTTCACAGGTTAGGTCATGATGTGGTGCCTTCCAACTAAAAAGTTAAACAAAATTGTTCTTTGACAGTGCGTACCAACCAAACTATATGAACACATACCGTGTATTTATTTAGTAAAATTATATACTTTTTAGCGATAAAAAAACTGACGAATTAGCAGTATGTTTATGTTAAATTGTTCGAACATCTGTAAGGCCATTCAGTCTAACGCGGGCAAAACATTTTTTTAATCTATTTAAATGTTGTTGCAACCGGTTATATGGTAACTGGTATGTGTTTTCCAACACCGGTCCTGATCTTGATAAGACAAAGCAAATACGCGTTTGTAACAAATACATATTTAAGTAGTAGTAGTACTACTACTTAGGTAAACCGACGGGTAAATATTTTTTTATTGTTTCTTTATGAAAGGTATTTTTTACATTATTACCATTTTTCCAATGTTCAATAAAAAAAAAAAAATAGCGATGTAGGTAGACTACATAATGTGGTTTATTATAATTATTTGTACAAAACGTTACGTCATGTTTCTGCTAATATACGAAATTATATTATTTGCAATTCAATTTGAAAATTTAAAGTTTATATCGTAGCTTAGATCCACGTATTAGTGGGTATATACCTATTAAATTCAGGGTCTGATATTTGTCATCAAAATTTAGTGCTCTTAATAAAGTTACTAATTATTATTACTCGTTGTTTAATGGTCGTTTGAGATTAGGTTCGAGGCTCCTGACTCATATTTATTGCGATTGTGCGCCGGCTATTTAGGAACAAATATAGATATTTTAAAACATTAAAAAAAAATACATTTAATTTGTCATTAGCAAATTTGTATACTTTAGGATAAATTTATCCTAAAATGTATACAATTATGATAGCGTTGTTAGTCCAATCGTGTGTTTTTTGAGGAGAGGTTATGTTTGGAAACCCGTAAAAGTAAAACGATAACCATCATAATCGTTAATATCAATAATATCTAGATTTAATTGATTGGTTCGGTAATATTTGTGTAAGGGTGCGAATTACTATAAAAAAATATATTATGTGACATAGCAAAAACTTAATTATAGAAATAAGAAAATTTTATCGATTGATTTTTTCAATACTTAAAAGGTATTTTAGCCGGTCAATAAATTAAAAAGATATAAAATAAAAATATTGCCCCGTGATTACATTACTTGGCTATTAATTTGTGATTCGATATGGATGATACGTCTTTTAAGTTAAAGGTCAATTCGTTTCTGAGGTCTAGAAATATCAAAGCTTATAAAAGTACCAATGATTTTTAATAAAAATGATAAGACAATGTACAATGTACGGTTTTTTTAAAAATTATTTATTATCGTCGGCGAGGTCAGATTGTGTCTTGCTGACTAGTTACTCTACTAGTTGTCGATTACAATGATATTATACCTTTAATATATGCAACATTGAGCAAAAACAAAGAAAATTGTCGGAAAAATAGATAATAGAACGAAATAGTATAAAATGTCTACATTTTACAATGAACGTAATAATATATGCTTCCTGCTTAAGTGCAGTTAGTCTCGAACGATATTATACGGTTGTCGAATGCATTTTACGATTTACTATTTAGTCTGGGGATGGACCTGTAAATAGCACTTGTTAGATTAGAAAAAAAAAATAACAACATTCCTCTCCAAAGAAGACTTTCGAAACTCATTAAATGGTTGGTCCCGTTGCTTCCAGCGCGAAGAAAAAAAAATATCCAACACGATTTTGTGACTTTAATAAACAAACCTTCAACTCTTGGTCTACATTGTTATTGCGTTTGTACATTTTTTTTTTCATTTTAATTTATAAAATAATAACATGTGGCGGTGTTTCGATGTAAACTTGACCTTAGCGCGAGATGGATATTTGTGTGTGAAATATTTGCATAATTCACTTATAATAATATACACATTATACACCCAGGGGTTAAAGTAATTCGAAAGTACGTATACCTTAAGTAGTTTATTCCAGTCTTCAAATTTTGCACTGCAAACTAAACACAAGAGTATTGTTTACCTCTTATCGTTACTGAAAATTTGGTATTAACATGATTTTTTCCAACAACTGTTGATAAACTATTTTTATATATCTTAGAATTTTCCCAATTTTTTTTGTTTGAAACAATCGTTAAAGAATTAACGAATTGCTTGGATTTTAGTTTCATAAAAAAAAAAAAAAATTTCCTGCGAGTATTGTTGGTTGAATTGAATGTTTTTAAATAAGTTAAACAAGTGTCCGTTGTGTTTTACTCGATTTGTTTTCATGGCTGATGTTGGTCAGGTGTAACTGATTATTAATACTTTGATACAATATGAACTTTGGTTTCTTTCGTTCGTAATCGTCTTTCTACTAACACTTTATAAATATTAATTACATTATATAAATGTATATACTTATTGTATTGATTTAATTATTTTCCACTAAATAATGAGTTTATAATGATTTTAATTGGGTCATATATAGTTTTTTTTTAATACTTTACTATATGTTGTTATTATATTTTTTGTTTCAGTAGTCATTTGATCCACAATGAGCGATGATGGCGATACAACTCCAAGTCTTTCACAAAACGGTGGAGCTCAGTATAATCTAAGCCGCAAAGAGGTAAATTGAATTGTTAATTATGCCGTTATATTTATTTTTTCAATATTCAATAATTATGTTTATTATTGTGAACACTAATAATTGGGTTTGAGAGTGTATGTAGTTTTCATAATAATATTTGTTTAATTTCTAGGCATTTTTGGCTAGTACTACAACTACTAGTATGGTAATTGAAAGCAACGTTGAAACAACACCATCGAGTACAATGAGGTAGGTGACAAATGCTTTACAGTTTTAAACTGTGAATCAATTATTATTTAAAAAATTAAATGCATGTTTTTAAAGTAATAGCACAATTATTTATATACACAATATTTATACTATGTATTTGTTATTGTTTCATATTGCAGTTTTGAATCTTCGACAAACCAAATAGAAATGTGTAAGTTTCCATTTCAAAGTATTAACGAATACTTATTAATTATTAAAATTACATATTGGTAGATGTGATTACCGGTAGGTGACTAATTGTTATTATTTTTAGATGGGCCTGACCAAGTGCTGCCCGCTACAGAGCTATATACAAGCATTCCAAATGGAAGAGTGAAATTAAGAATTGAAAAAGGTTCTGATTCAACTCCCATATCCGTTCCTGGTCTTTTAAGTAATGCAGTAGAAAAATATGGCGACAAGCCTGCATTGAATTACAAAGCTGATAATAAATGGATTAGTGTTACATACAAGTAATTAATAGATTACAAAAATTGTTCTACTTCCAATGATTTCACTTAATTTACTGTTTTTTTTTTCCATAGAGAATATGAACAAAACGTACGAACTGTGGCCAAAGCTTTCCTCAAGTTAGGTTTGGAAAGGTACCATGCCGTATGCATAATTGGGTTTAACTCTCCAGAATGGTTTTATTCAGATTTGGGAGCTATTTACGCTGGGTATGTTAAATAAATTTAAGTTTTATTTAGATCATTATAATTAAATATATTTAATTATATATTTATATATTTTTTTAAACAGTGGTTTTGCTGCTGGTATGTACACTACAAATCTTGCTGACGCTTGTCATCACTGTTTATCGACGAGCAGAGCAAATATAGCTGTTGTAGAAGATGGAAAACAGTTGGACAAAATACTTTCAGTCAAAGACCGCTTACCTCATTTAAAGGCCATTATTCAATATGAGGGCAAACCAACAGTCGAAGGGGTTTTATCTGTAAGTCACTATCATACTGCTTTGTCTGTATTGAATATTTTTTAATTTTTTGATTTTGGTTTTAAAAGTGGGAAGATGTTATGAGAATAGGTGCAGCCGAAACCGATGACAATCTAAATCAAGTATTGAAATCTATGGGAGTCAACGAATGTTGCACATTAGTTTTTACGGTAATAATAATTATAAAACATCCTATACACATAATGATCTGGTCGATCTGACAGGATAATTTGGTTACATCAAATGTCATGTGTAGACGTGTGGTCTGACTAAAATCCTGTGGGATGTTGTCAGATGGCCACACCATCAAGGGACCTTAATAATAATCCGTAGTGTTGTCCTAAGGGTATACATTACGTGTACTCTTAGAACTACTCCACTGATAATAATAACACAAATTATTGGATTACTTACTGACTTTTGGTAATATGTCTAGTCTGGAACCGAAGGCCCATCAAAGGCGGTTATGGTCAGCCACGACAATTTACTCTACAACGCCTATTTGATAACAAACTTCCTATCTCTGGAACAATGTAAAGAAGTTCTCGTGTCTTACTTGCCATTGAGTCATGTAGCTGCGCAAGTGAGTTGAAAACATTTTTTTACCGTTGTCCATCCACAAAACAATCAAAATATAATCTTTTAAAAATTATTTTTCAGATAACGGATATATATTGTGCTATCACGGTGGGAGGTCAAGTGTATTTTGCCGAAAAAGATGCGCTTAAGGTTTGTTGACAGCTTTAATTTAATTTTGGGTTTTTCTTTCAGTACATATTATTAATTTGCTGAATCAAATATTTTAATTTAGGGTACTTTAGTGACTACACTTCAAGTGGCAAGGCCTACAGTTTTCTTAGGCGTTCCGCGTGTCTGGGAGAAAATCAACGAAAAGTTGGTCAGTATTGGCAGAAAATCCGGTTCCCTCAAGAAATACATTGCAGATTGGGCGAAACAAGTTGGTTTACATCACTACGAAGAAGCGATGAGAGGGTTAGTATACTTTCAAATGTTCACTGTCATATTATCAACTTTTAACAGAATAATGTATAATATTTGTATATAATTTGCGCATTGTGTAATATTTAATGATTTGGTTGTAGGAATGAAAAGGAAACGTATTCATACAAATTCTTCAGATGGTTAATATACGGTCGTATCAAGCAAGCCATTGGTTTTGATAGATGTAAATGCTTTATCTCTGCCGCTGCTCCAATATCCGTTGAAATTAAAAAATATTTCATGAGTCTGGATATACCGTTATGTGAAGTTAGTATTGTTGTTTTTTGTAGTTTTAATTATTTTATCATGTCTAATTGTGTATTTTATTTATAGGCATTTGGAATGTCTGAATGTAGTGGCGCACATACGCTGAGTATTCCCACTGATGAAAATGTAGCTGGAGTAGGTAAAACGTTAGATGGCGCTAAAACAAGGATAGACAAACCCGATAAAGATGGCAATGGCGAGGTAATGATTTTTATTAATCAAATCGCATTTCATTTGACTTATGTTTTATAATTGTGTTCTAGTTATGTCTGTATGGACGCCACATATTTATGGGCTATTTGGATTTACTCGATAAAACAAAGAGTTCATTGGACGAGGAAGGTTGGCTTCACTCGGGAGATATTGCACAAATCGATGACAAAGGGCACGTTGTCATCACCGGAAGAATAAAGGTATTACTGGTTATTGAGTTGATTCGCTCAAAAGCACATTTTATTTGACTTTATGTCTATTTGTAGGAATTGTTAATCACAGCTGGGGGAGAGAACATACCACCTGTACTAATTGAAAACAACGTTAAAGCAGAGTTGCCTATAGTTAGCAACGCTTTATTAATAGGAGACAAGAGGAAATTTTTGTCCATTCTATTGTCGTTAAAAGTAAAAAAAAAAATTAATTAATTCCATTAAATAAAATTATTTAAAGTAAAGAATGTATTAAAATATCATTTGACATGTGTTTATTTAACTAGTGTGAAGTTAATCCTGAGACTACAGAACCTTTGGATGATTTGACACCCGAAGTTATTTCGTGGTTGAAATCTCAAAATTGCGATTATACCAAAGTTTCCGAAATTATAGCCAACAAACCCAAAGAAGTAATGGAAGCCATTCAAAAAGGTATTGACAAGGCAAACAAAAAGGCAGTGTCCAATGCTCAAAAGGTCCAGAAATTCGCGTTCATGCCAGCCGACTTCTCCACACATACCGGAGAATTGGGTAAGTTACTGGAATTCAGCATTATTTTAATAAAGTTATTTTTTTAACTCTTTGACAAGCGATAAAGAATACACAGATGATAGTCAAGTAGTAGAATAGGATTGGAAAATCGAAAAAAAACTTTTTTATATCTGAGCAAATTATGTATATACACGTCTTATTTTTAACAAAATTTAAATTAGAACTAACAGAGTAAAGCACATAATTTTTCTCTGGGTTTTATAACGTCATTTTATTAGTCAACAACCTTTAAAATAAAGAAAACAAAAACACATGGGCAGTTTATACATACTATATAAAATACACACGTCCATGCTTCTTTTGGCAAATCATTTATAATGTATATAAATGTCATTGCTTTAGTCGAGGGGTTAAAAATAAATGTTCATAACTGCGTAATTGTTATTGTAGAAAAATCTTCAGTCAATTATTCTGGTTTAAATGCAGTAGTGTAGTCTGAGTGTATACACGCTATGTGTATTCACCTCCCACTCTCTGAGTGCAGCGTGTACTTGTGCCCAAATTGTGTATCCACGGATAGAGTACACAATTTTAATTATGAGTACACGCTGTACTCAGAAAAATGGGAGCTACATCAGCGTGTATGCCCTGACAACTACATCATTGAATGTAAAATTATTATATCTTATATTTTTGACAGGTCCGACATTGAAAGTTAAACGTCCAGTTGTGTACGAAAAATACCAAGACCTAATTGAGGAGTTCTACAAGAACACATAAGCCGTTTAACAACAGCAGACAACTTTTTATTATTATTACGTGCGTCCTTTTGTTGGTTCCACGAATAAAAGTATTTACATAGCTCTAAATAAAATGCTCACAGGGTGTTAAGGTTATCCTCTTTAATTATACCATTGTACTACCACGGCTACGAATGTGTTATTTTGTTTGAATCGTGTAGGTTTCTTTTTGCTAGAAACTTTTGTTGTACTTAAATTGTATGAATTTTAGTGTTTTTCATTACTTCATTTATTACCTTTTTGTTACCTTGTGATTTGAATTTGTACTGGTGTGTGTACATAAATTTAAGTTTTCTTCTCTAGGTAACCCCTATGTCTTTTATTTTAATTTTATAGTCAAGGTTTTATTACTCTATTAGAAATATTTTTATTGTGATATTTTTTTTTCAAATAATTCGAATTTTTACGATATATATATACATATATATTATATTTTTAATAACAGAATATTATTTAAATTTAAATACATTTATTTGGTGAAAAAATAAATAATAAAATTACAGTAATATATAAAATATATTTTATTTTTCAATATAAGTAATTGATATTATTTTACTAAGCATTATATTGTATGTTTGTGTAAACTGTAAGTAGGTAAATTCGTTATGATTGGCTGTATACATTTTTAAAACAATATACTTTTTAGTTTTATACTAATAAGAAAAAAATAGTTATTATTTTGTTATATGTTTTTTTTTTGTTATTCTATCCAAATCATGCATGTTTATATAATTTTCTAATTGTGTGTGCGCGACTACATATTATGTGAAACTCTACACAAAATTAAGCTATACACTTACTAACTCGAGGTTTTTTTAAAAAACAATTTGTTATTATACTATAATATAATTATTGATTTAAAAGGTTTTTTACAATTTCTTCTCGATGTCAATTATTTTTAGCTTCGATGTGTTGTTATTATTCTCGTGTATAATATAGTAAAATAATTTCGCTAGCATTATTTAATACCAAAAACATTAGATTTGATCTCTTTAACAAATCGTTGCCTTAAAAAATTAATTTTATTTATATTGACTTACATAAAATATACTTACATTTGCTTACTCTTGTGAACAAAAGTTCTGTTTTTTTGTGTATATAAATAGAAGAAATTAGTTAATTTGATTATCATTTAAGTGGTAAGACAATAAATAGTTTTCGATACTTAACGCTTGCACGATCATCAACAATTTATTTAATAAATCAAATAGTAATTTTTTTTATTCGATATATTAATTTTGTACAGTAAACTCTGTAAATATTTTTAAACCGATTATAAACTACAACATCAAAATACATAATATATATATATTTTTAGCCAGTTGTTGAATAATGCTGCATAATTTTATTGTAACTATTTATTTATTAAACTCGATTTTGTCATTGTGTGCTACTTTTTATTTATACAATATTATTTCATAATATTAGGTGCTCGTTTTAATAAATGTTAAATGACGTTATGATATTTGGTACTGACGGGAAGTGTAATACAATAAAACATGATAATTTAATTATAATACAACGATAATTGTGGAAATATTTATTTTTCAGGACAATTTTTTAGCGTTTCCTATTTTGACAATCCGAGTATAAGAATTAATGTATAAAAACAATTTATAAATATTTTAGCTTTGATGCGTTGGTTTTTTTTTTAAATTTTAGTACAAATCAAACGCATACCCGACGAACCTTGCTAAGACATCAAAATGGCGCCGCTCAGCAATTAACAATATTTAAATATTATTAGTTGTACCCAGTCATTGTACTTGGTTGTATTTTTTTTATATTGTCCATTTGGAGAGTTTAGTTCATAAGAATTACGTTATTACTATAACAAGCACAATATTTTTCATCAACTCGTTTATGTTAACAAATTTTTAGACCATTTTGACTACTCCAGGTAAAATAGGGCAGTTAGTAGCTAACTAATAAAATGAGTGAAACATTTAGATACAGATGTACAATCGTGTACTAAAGATGAGAATAAGATGATTTTTCTTTAAGTATAATAACATGATAGAAGCTTTTGTTAATTTTGGGGATACGTTTTAAAATAGATTACTATTATACCACATTTTTCATTGGTGTTTGCGACACCGTTCCAAATTTCATCTTTATGGACACCATCTTTATACTTGTCGTGTGAAAGATCATACAAAATATGTATTATTTCTCATGTTTTATATATTTTCTCTTGTTAATTAATTAAAAAGCATGTCTCCAAAAGCAATGTCTTTTGTGTACAATGTACTGAAAGATGGACTGTCAATTGGCTTTATCAAAGTCTTAGACTGTTTGGCGGATGCCAAGCCTGCAGCGATTATGGAAACAGCCAAAGCCACATTCAAACCTACCTGCAAAGCCGGCGGAGACGTTGGCGTCAAACCCGTGGACGCGCGAACGGTGGCTTTGAATTGTTGCTGCATACCACTTAATTTTGCACATTATTCCGTTGTACCGTTTGATTTCTAGTATTAGTACACTTCGTAATTTATTTTTTTCTTGTTTTTATTGGTATTACGCCCATGTTGACTGTATCCATTACTTTTTATATTCATCTGTTGTAGTTACTTTTTTATACTTCCTGTCAATCCTCACTCTTTCTTGTCCTTTTATTGCTCGGCACTTTCTGAAGCCAATAATGTTTAATACCGTATGCTCTTTGATGATTCCCATTCGAAGCCACGGACGTCAAACCGACAACCAAAGCCGCCGGCCGAGGAACAGGTACGGTAACCGAACGCGGTGGCCAAACCACACCGTCGTGGACGCCGAGCATGAAGCCAGGCTCGCCAGGTTAAAGGCCACCGCTATGAGCTTGAGAAAAAGGTCCGGTTGCCTGGACATATCCAACGATAAAGGATTGCACTATTCGGGGGGTTTTAACATACCCTTGTGGCTTGTACCTTGCACCTCCATGCCTATTTGATTCACTGTAATTATTTATTTGATTCATAATATTATTATTGTCATTAGTTTCTTGTTGATTGTTTTGTATAAATGTACATGGCATTTTCCTTATTTGTTTGTTGTTTTTAAATCGTTGTTATCATGTTATTCTGTGTAAATAAAAAAATATAAAAATTTCATGACAAATAAAATATGTTGCATTTCTTTATACATAATTATTTCATTTAGTATTTCCGTTTGAAAAAAACTATAATAGTGGTATTCAAATTATATGAATTTCAAAGGCATCTTTTTGTTTTCTATGCTATTATAACAAGCGCTTTCACAAACGCAAAAAAATATTCAAGCGAAATGATGTTATAAATTGAGAATGATTTTAAAGCAGTGATTTAAAAAAAAAAAACTGTTCACAAAAGACAAATTTTGACCATACCTATCACAAAATAATAAAAATTACACAAATCTAGAAAACCTATTGGATTTTGGAAATTTGTTTCGAGTGAGCAGCGAATCGATGGTAATTTTTGCCCGGAACTTTATATGATACCTACAAAATTAAAAAAATATGTTATTAAATCAAATCCGAAGAAGAATCCCGTTTTTGAGAATACTTAAGCCTAACCTTTATTATTTGTCTTTATTTAATCCGTATCTAGTACCTAAGTTGTTGCTGTTTATTCTTTTGTATAACTTAAATAACTGTACTCGTTACCCCTTTGGGGTGTAAAAACTTTAAATAAACAAATAAATATAATAATAATATGTCGGGTTACTGTATTATACAATCAAATGTTGCAAATAAATCAACGGTCGTGACGATGGCCGTTGTTTTATTGTAACTATCAACTTGTCTTAATTTTACTGTGTAATTGTTTTGTCTTATAAATCTTTGTACCTATCGGATTTAAATTGTTTGTGTAATATTTTTATTGTTTTCTTGTTTTCTATTTCTCTTGTAAATCTTTAATTATCAAATAGTATCTATGTCTCCAAATGCAATGTCTTTTGTATACAATTTACTGAAAGACGGGCTGTGTCAATTGGAATTATCAAAGTCTTAGACTGTACAGACTGTTCTGGCCAGTCTCAACCGTTGGGTACGTTGAAATCTTTACCATATTATGTTATTCTGTGTAAATAAAAAATCATTTTTCATGATAAAATAAATGTTCCATTTCGTTATCATTGAAAAATACGGATAAAAAAGTGTACAGATGTTTGATAGTTTTAATTTTTAAGATACAGTAAAATAAATATGTAATAAATATTAAAAAAAGTGGCAAAATGTTGTAGGACTGTGGGCTTTCGTTATTAAGTTAATTTTGCTATTATTGAAGCTAATACTATTTTGCTGAAACACTTGAATTGTACTTTCCCGAAAGTTGCAAAAAAATACATAATATCCGTTTTTGCTATCCTACCACAGGTTTACAGTTATTTATAATAGTTGTCCATGTAATAAATTATAATTGTATGCAAAACGAAGATAAGATGATAAATAAAATGTAATCATAAAAAACCAGGATCATGATAATGTTATAACCGTTTATTAATATAATACACCAATCTTTCAAAATAGATTAAGTATAATACGTACCTATATTGTGTAAAAACTTATTATCGAACATAATAAAAATATGTTATTATACGATAGACAGGTTAACATAATTTAGTGCGCAATGATCATGTTTATTATATTAAGTATTTATAACTTTATAATATAATCTTTTAAACAAATATAATATTACGTTGCGGACCGGAAAAAAAACGTCTGCAACTTTGTGCCTTAAAATAAAAGTCGTATAAAAAAAATACTCTTAACATGACAATAATAATATTATATTTTCAGCTTAACGTACCTGTACAGCTTTTGTATATTAGACAAATGGCGGGCCAATTCGCTTTACACAATATTTTTTATTACAAAAAATTAAACTATAAAAATAATTAATAATAATAATAATAAAACAAAGTATTGACGAAGAAACACAACTTGATTAATTAGTTGATATAAATTGTCCCAAAGGCGAAAACGCGCAAAATGACTGATCACCGCTGTAGTTCTGTGCCCGTCATGTTGTCCAGTTCGGGCAGCCGTTCCTCGACCATCCTTTCCAATTCCACTTCGTCCAATATGGTCTGCACTCTCTGCTTGATGGGCTCTTCGAGGGCGTCGACGATGACGTGCCGCAAAAGTGCCGGCAACGAGTTGACCGCTATCTCGACGATGTAGTCCAGCGGCGCTTGCCTGTCCATCTGCACGGCCACTTTGCCCACCTCGATGTCCAGCTTGTGCAAAACCGGCTTTTGCCGGATGTCCAGCGACTGGTTGACCATGGCCCTGACCTGTATATGGTCCACGGTGAAGTTGGTCGCACCGGACCGACCGAATTTCTTGGACAGGTCCAGCTCGTACGCCCACCGCATGGATCCGTGGACGGCACCCGTGATGACGTGCAGCGTCAGCTGCAGCACTCGGCCCCGGACGCCCACGCCGATTTCGCCCAGCCTCCGGAAGTCGGACAGCCCGTACACGTTGAGCTCGCTGAGGGTGAACGAGAACGGGCCCTCTTTGATTTTGCGGTCTGCCAACCGGTACGGGTCGTAGCCCATGCGTCTCACGTACTTCCGGCCTTCGACCACGGCCAGGTCGGTGACGGGCATCTTCATTCTGGGCAGCTTGCTGGTGATGGCCTTGATCTGGGCGTTGATGTCGGCCTTCATGTTGGTGTTCATCTCGTTAATGATGAACGGTTTGATGCCGTCGAAAAGCACCGAGGCCACCGAGCTGATCACGCCTTGAAACATGGACGCCATGAAGCCCAAGTTTTTAAAGTCCAGTTCGCAATCGGCGAACTGCATGTCCATTTGCGTTTCGTTGGTCTGCAGGTTGCCGTCGGCGTCCGGTTCCAACTCGGCCGCCAAGTCGGCGTCCACGTCGATCAACGTCACGTTGAACGGGCCCGCCGCCGGTCGGCTGAAGAACGTTTTCATCGTGTAGTTACCCAACACGTACAGTCTGCGCATCTTCAGTAACACGTACACCTGCGAATCAAACCGTATTATTATAAATCAAGCGTACACGGTTAATACAAATTTTGAAAATACAATGAAACTTAAAAGACAACCGTTTTGTAGTGCTTGCTTACTCGGAGCATTTGTATATTTATTTTATTAAACATTTTCAAGTGACTAACAACGAAAATTAATGATAAACAATATTGTTTAATATAATATTATATGCAACATCGAATGTGTCCGCATTTAAAGAATTTATTACTTGTTTATTCCACTATTATTATTAAAACGATAACATTTAAATTGATGGCATAATATTATGCAAGGCAGCTAATACGTATTTTATCATTTGTACAACTAAATAGGTTTAACGTTAGATTATATTTACCTACAGGGTGATTTTTTTTATCATGGGCCAGTCAATATTTCACTTAGTTTAATTCACCTGTATACCTACGTCACCTCGTGTTACATTTATTAGCCGAAAAACAGTCTGTTACCTATTGGGGTTTTATTTTTACAGTGTAATAATGAGGAATAATCGCTCTAATGGCATTCCACGATTGCATTAGTCTGGGGAAATAACCACACCTTCGCAAGATTCTAATAATTATTACAATTTTGTTGTTTCGCGTTGTGTCTGATCATCGACCGGTTTTCATAATATATAAAATGATTTGGAAAATGTGTATATCTATTTAATTATTAATCTTTGGTATTAACCGAGGTTAAACTCGAAGTGTTCGAAACGGAAGCGTCGAGTCATCATTATATTTTTATAACTTTAGGTTTCCGTAGCAATGCGTTCAGATAAACGTGATAGACTCTTCTAATGTTCCACGTGATATATAATAGATAACGTCAACAGATGACCCAAATCAAATTTTGGCATTATAGCGTATCGGATGTTGTGTATAACTATTATTATAAAGTACATATATTGGTCAAGGACGCATTTTCTTTGTGAGTTTTTAAGTCGTATTCCAAGTACTGAATAATAGGTAATATTATCGTTTCCCAACTAGTAACGTTGTGATGTGATAGTGATTTTCAACGAAATAATAATTGTCAAAAATCACTTAATCAAAATAATATACTGAATCACTCAATCTAATCTCTCTCTCTCATTTTGCCAGCTATTTTCTCCTTGCAATCTTTTAACGCTAAGTTTCGAAAATTGACCCGCATAATATGGTTTTACTGCAGACTGACTGCAGATGTCTTACCTGCAGATGATCTAGGTCCGTGTTGACCCGTTCCACCGTGAATTTGGACAAACCGTGCACTGTCATGTTACTGAACGTCATGTCGGCAAGCCCGAAGTTCTTCTTCATCGGAGGTATGGCCAACGGGTCCGGGACAGGCGCTCCGGGAAAACCTATAGGGTCGGGTTTTTGGTAATGTTTCAGGATTTTCCTGATCTGTTCGCTCAGCCTGTTCGTGACAGCATCGGACGACAGCGTGATGTTGGTGTTGCCGTCCGCGGTCGCGTTCAACGTGATTTCCGACTGCGCGGGCGGCGGCACAGGTCCTTCGGTCACCTCTCCCGACTCGTCAACCGCGGTCACGTTGACGGCCACTGTTGGTGCCGCCGACGTTGGAATGTCTCGCTCGGCGGCCACCGTTGTCGGCGCCGGCGGTGTCCTGTCTTCTTCGTCGACGACGGACACCGCAGCCGACGTCGTCGAGGTCGTCTCGTCTTCCTCGACGACGACGACCGCGGCCGGCGGCGTGGTGGTTTTTATCGACGTTTCAATTAATTCGATGATCGAAATGGCCGTCGAAGTGGTTACAGCTTCTACAGGCGCGGGGGGCTCGTTCGTAGCGGCCACATCGAGTGTCGGTTTAGCGGTTACCGGACTTCCGGACGCGGATTCGACTTCCGCCTCTCCGCTGTCCGGAACTGGCGACCCACCTGAAAATAACAAACGTGTATTGTGACTTAAGGTAGATTGGACAGACGGATATTAATACAGTTGTAAAATTAAGTGAGACGTCTCTTGTTCCTTTAGATGATTATCATCCGGAATTAACCATACGTCTAATGATGTAAACAAGTCTAATTTAATCGATGCTGGGGATGGTGAGATATAAGCTGAGTTCACTACCTAATTATTTAAAAAAAAACGGTTGAGTCTGTATTCACTTGTACATTGAGGAGGAATTTACTTGATGAGCAACGACAGGCTTAAGGAATGGGAAGTCTATAGCAACCAATTTGGTAGTATTCTATCAGTATTTAGTGGACAATGTATCAAAAGGGTTTTCGTAATTGACTCTATGCATACTGGTATAAGAAAAGCCTTTGATACGGTTGATCATAAGTCATTGCAGTACTGCTTAGTGCTTAGGTGTGGTATCTTAGTAATAAAAGTGTTTTGAAAAAAAAACATGTTTTGTCATTGTCAATCTTCTATTTAACATCATCTTTGCCGAAATGATTCATCGAACAAAATAATATAAATATATCCATTTCTTTATAAAAAAAAAAAGGCGTAGCAGAGGAATGCTGCTGTGGGTCGTACTTAGGTATGTATATTATTACCAGAGACCGGTTCGAGGTACCGATACCAAAAGATAGGGTGAAAAAAGGATAAAGTGACATGCGTTTGGGAATTGGTGTTGTTTTTTGTTTACCCTTTAATCTATAATCAATGACCAGTAAAATAAAAGTAAAGATGATTGAATCCATTTGTACAGCCAACAGAGGAGTTGGCTGGCGTTGTTTGTATTGTGTGAACAACAATAAAATAAAACAAACTTATGTTCACTTTTAAACCCAAATTTTATAATTATCTGCTTGCATGTTTTAACTTTGATGTGAAAGTCTAAAAATTATATTTACATTTTAAAATGTACACAGTATACATTAGTTTTTTTTAGATATTTTTCAATATAAGTTTAGGAAAACCTGTTTTTCATGTAGATTTTTTAAAAACTGTGACATATTATTGTCAATGCAATATATAAATCGCAAGGAGATTGTAGATCAGAAATAATCACTATACAGGAGCCAGCTCCATGAAGCATGTTCCACGATTTATAATTTTAGCCGTCAGGCTTTAAGTAGACTGCGACTTTTTGATTTTCAAAATATAATTTGAGAAATTGCCTTTGACTTTGAAAACTGCAAAGGCGGCGCTAAATTGTCACAATAACAATTATTATGGAGAAACACACTGTGAACTATGAAGTATAGTATAATATAATGTTATTGGTGTAACGGATAGGTATTCGCGCGGTATGTCGAAACTATATTGTTTTACATCAGCATATAGTGTATCATAATTCATAACTCATAATAATATTACAAAACCTTTGGTCGAGTGACTCTGATGTTAAAACTTTAGCGCGTTTGAATTCAATTTGGAAATGAAATTTTCAAAGACATATCGTTTAAAATTAGACGGTATTTTAGGATTTTTTTTTTGCAAAGTGCAAATCTATATAGACGAGCGTAGGTGATAATTTGTCCAGAAACCAAAAACCGACACTTACCGGCTAAACGTGCGGCCAACAAAGCGCAACACAACAGCAGCAACGCAGTATAGTTCATCGTATAGTACCGAGTATTTTTAAAAAATTTTTTCTAAGAAAATTTTGTTAACTTAATATTACATTAATTGTATAGTATGTTTTACACGGAAGCATCGAAGAAAAAAAAACACAAGGCACTGACTCGCGGATAATACTGAAACGGTCGGCCAAACCGTTTGTGTAGATACGCTTGTAGTTTGTGTGTGTGTGTGATGATAACACTGCAGCGGTAGTAGTAATAATGAAAATACTATAAAGAGCAGGTCTGGGTGAACTCTGGCGTTGTGATTAGGAGGTACACCCGAATGCCCTATAACCTCGTGCTGTATGAAATACAAAAGTATATTGTACATCTTATTGTACCAATAATGCGCTATTGTGCGCGTTATATAGTAGTCTCAATCAGCAGCCGGCCAGTTTACGACCGGTCGGTAAAAATCCCATTACCACCACCACCACCATCATCGCTATCATCATCAGCTATCTAATTCGGCGGATTGTCAGTCATAGTGTAGAAAAAAGTAACGTTGAAATTTCTATCGAACGCGTCATGGCGGCATTTTAGTATAGTTTTTTTTTTTTTGTCGGTGCGGTTTCCAACAGCTACGCTGGCATTTTATTAAGCGTGGTGTATCTTGATTGATAAACATTATTGTAATTGCTATTGTTTGATCGAGATACGGATTTATTATTGTAATATTTCAACTGTGTGTGTGTAACGCTGAGGTAATAAATTCACCGGTAGTCAAATCAAGATAACCGTATTTATGCAGTGGCGGTCGGTCGTTGGAAAATGTATAATTTAATATAATTACACCGATTCAATTTGAAAAAAACCACGTCGAATTTAGGATTTAACTTAATAGTAGAACTTATCATAATTGTCGGTTTTTGTTATTATTTAAATTATATTTAATGATTCTTAAAAAAAGATAATGTACGTAGTCTTAGTTTTCTTAATAATAGATATTATGTTATCCTCTGAGTACGCACACTGTCAGGAAAATTCAATAAAAAAATAAAAACACAAACCATTACTTATACAGTATACTATTGTATGTCAATAGTAGGTATACACATATTTTTATAGTAATGTTATATATTATTTTAACGACTTTAGGTAGTAAACTATGATGTTCAATGTATGTTCACAGTATTTGCAAAGTTCCTTTAAAAAAACCTGTTTCAGTTCTTCGTTCATTTACAAAAAAAAAAAAAAACTCTATTTATCTGTTTAATATTTGGAAATAAATTAAAAAAATCGCGTTTTTTAAATAACAAACCAAAAATGTCAAATTTCCACTTACAATAAACTGATTAAACACCACCACAATAAGTTGTAGTTGATAACCGCCAAATTAAAATTGCAAACAAAATTCGGATCACTGTTTTCGTTGTATACTATTTATTATTCTATTTCAATTCGACGAAATAAATTAAAAATTAAATACACCTATTGGTGGTAGTATATCAATATGGTTGTTGGGAATCAGACAAAAAAAAAAAAGTTATACTCGAAAATAAGAGCTACAAAATACATACATACATTCAATTGCTCGGTTCGTACTTTGTACGCAAAAATAAAAAACTTAAATGCTGCAAACAAAAAACTTGTTCCATGAATCCGTTTCTGTTAATAATAATAATAATAATAATTGCGGAACGCGTTTTTCAACGTTATAAATGAGTTTTTTGTTTTGGAAACTAAATTATTAGCTCTCTGCAATCCTTGTGTGTAAACAGGTATACATGTTGGTATATATATATATATACCGTATATATGTATATATGTACATATATGTATATACTCTGAGCCAGCGGTTGGCTCGTTTGTATTCAGTTGTAGGTGGTACACGTGGGGCTGTAGTACCTTGCTTAAAGTTAAATTAAATACAACATGTGAAAGAGCTTAACGACCACAAAAGTTGTTTTGCGGCTAACGAACCAAACACCGTCGAATATATTCTTCTTCTGCTCGTTTAACCGCTAATTGCGCGGACCGCGGCCGGTTTTTCCCCGAAATTCTCATCTGAGCGATCGACTATTATCGAGTTCGGAAATCCTGTACCGCGTCAAACCGCCGGTACATCATGTGCACATGTACACAATATTATTATACAATAATATGTGCCCGGATAACGCAATAAACGTTTATGTTATATATAAGATTTGATTTTTCGCAAACGGGGCCCGAAACTTTTGGCGAGTGCGGCGGAATCGAATTACAACCCCCTCTCACCCTCTCACCCACCCCTTAGGGTTTTTCCTTGACTTTCCCCGCCGTTTTTACCCTCTTAGAGGTTTTTCCGGATGCATGTGTGTGATTACTGCGGTATTGTCGTACACAAAAAAGGTCGGTCGAATTTGGATCTCACAAACGTCGCCCGGTTATGATCATATAATATTTGTTTCCATCACCGTCTTACATATATATATATATATATATATATGTATATATATATATACCTATTAATTATTGTCACTTGATAGCGCATCCAGCAAGTACGGTATGTACCTCTAGCCGCGCGCAAACCAGAAGAAGTACGCAAAACTGATTTGCCATCATCGGTCGATGACTTTAATGGCGAAAATGGCATTAAATGGCAGGGAAATCCGTCAAAAAAAACTTTCGGTCGGCAAAGGAAATTAAACGCTGTTTATCTGGATCGACGTGTCACATATTTTTAGGTACATTAACATTTCATGCGTTCGACTGTATCGCGCATTTTTGTATTTTGAATGCAGCTGTTTACCCCCGCAGGAAGTATACATCCGTTGTTTTTTTCGGATTGACAGTTTTTGAATATTTTCATACCCTTGTCACATCGATCACAAGACCTACACGCATATAGCACAAAGTGCATACATTAGGAAATTTCAAAACGATCCAGACACTTTATAGTTTTTTTTTTGTTCAAAGTGAATTATACAAAACAATGTAGGTGTAAACGTGAAAATATGTAATAGTAATAAAAAAAAATATTTCATTTTTTTTTTTTTATAGTTGGGTATTTATTTCTATGAATTTCAAAAGTGTCCGTTTGTCTGACATGCACATATTACATTAAATACGTTAACGTCTACACGATGAAACATATTTTTAGACATTACTTTTTACTTATTATTATTGATAAAAGTTCAACAATAAAAGTCTCTACTACATCAACTATGAACATCTTAAAATTTGGATTTTGAAAGCTATTTTATGTGAACCTACTGTGGATGCTGAACACTACTTTAGTAATTTATTTCTTACCGTGCTGGTTTAAACTGTGTTGGGTTTCGACTGTACTGGCTTAAACTCACTCCGAAAATACTGAAATTCCCGGAGCTTTAGACAGTTTGATAAACAATAATAATAAGTCATAACCAATGGTATTAAAGGACATTAAGTTGGATGTCGTCGAAAGTCGTCTAATCCTCAACACATTATTAATGTATGTATTTGATACTCTGAAATTTAAATTCGGCTTTTGGCCACTTTTTCGGTAATCGCCGAAGACAATACGAGGAAATATGCAAGCGTGACACATATTATAATATGTTGTATAACGGCTTACTATATAATATGAACGTCACTTAACCGTCTCACACAATCCTCGGCAGTCCCTGGCCCCCCGTTTGTGCTTGCGATTTATCACAATAATATATATATATACATATTATTACATAAATTATATATATTATATTGTGCACACAGTGTCGTGTCTTCTTCGGTACCGTGGTTTATGATATTTGTTTCGTTTAATCGCTCCGGCCTAACCCCAAAGACAACGGCTTCGTGCATAATCAGTAGGTTAACTAACCGAAAACAAAGAACGGGAAAGACGGCGGCGTGGGGTCATTATCAGACCGTTTACCGGCAAAGCTTTTAAATCAACTGCTCGGCGTTAAGTTTTCCGAGTATCCAAAAGTCGCGTTGAGCTTGTTTTAACCCTATCTACGCAAAAGTGTACTTAAACAGACTGTGGTTTCTGTGTACACAACAGACGGAACGCGTACACACATATTGGGCCTCGTGCATAACATGTGGTGGGGTATTAAACATAGTATTGTGTTATATTTTTTATGTAAAGTTTACCGAGTAGGAGATCAATTTCACATCTAGATAATAATAATACTCGTTAATGCGTATACGTGCATTCGATAATGTTACAGAATATATCATTTAAATATACAAGTCGGATGACTTAACCGAACACTATTAATCGAACGCCAAGTCTGTGGAATTCCTGCGCCTAAATATTTCCTTTCCCTTCATCAATCTCATATGCGGCGGTGTCATCAATGTATGTACATAGAATTTCTCTCCGACGTGTGACACACACGCGCAATTTAAATTCCCCGGAGTTAATATAACGTGCAAAACCCGTGCGCGAATTTTAATGGCTACCAGTCTTATTAGACGAAAAAATATATCGGTTTTTATGTATATTTCTGTTATATAAATTAATAACAACACGCAATAGGCAACGCAGTACATAATTGTAATACATTGAACGGCATTATTTTTTTCTGCTGTGATCATCCCGATTTGTTAAGTTCAACTATATTTAATTTTGCGGTCGGAATCTGGTAAATTCTAGTTTTGCACACATAATATAGTATACTTGCTGCTGCACCGAGCTAGTCCCATTTAGTCCTGCACGGTTTGGCGCCTGTCCGAAAGTTCAAACCTTGTAAGGCGGTTAGTGTAATAAACAACAGCTAGGCGACGGCGTTGGTTTTTTGAGCCCCGACGCCTCCACAGCAAGCTCCCGGAAAGAGCAAAGTTGGCAACCGAAGTGCCATCCAGTAATTCTCCATTAGCCGGAATTGCTCTTTTTGTCGGTGTATAGTATTTTCTCTATTTTTTTTTTTTTTGTTTACTTCTTTTTGTCGCCTAAAGCCGTGGCTAAAAAACGCCTGTTGTTTTTATGCAACACTCCATTTAGCCGCGCTTGGTTAGGAACGTGTACTAGTCATCAACAAATACAAACTGTACACCCCCCCGAACCGTAAAATATAGAAAACGTTCTAAATTTGTAAATTTTCATTTTTATAAATAAAATGCTGGCCGAAACAGAACGGTTGGCAGATTAAATGAAAGGCAATACCGTATATGCGGGTGAGGATAGAGAGAATGCGAGCTGTGAAGAAAGATGATCTAGCTGATAGATTTTAAGCAACTATTACACGTTATGTTGCATTCAAAAAAAAATAAAAGTTATATTGTAATAACACTTTTTAATTTTGCACCTATTCAGTTATGAATACTTTGTAGGTACTCCGATAAAACGACAAAAAAATGTATACATAT